CTGGATGTCCCCATTGTCCTCTGTGTCCCCTGTCCTCTATATCCCCATTGTCCCCACTGTCCCCACTCTCCCCATTGCCCCATTGTCCCCTGTGTCCCCAGTGTCCCCTGTCCTCTATACCCCCATTGTCCCCATTGTCCCCATTGCCTCCCTATCCCCATTGTCCCCACTGTCCCCGGTGTCCCCTGTCCTCTATATCCCCATTGTCCCCAATGTCCCCATTGCCCCATTGTTCCCTATATCCCCTTTATCCCCACTGTCCCCACATCTGTTCCCATGTCCCCGTGTCCCCATGGCTGTCTCCATGTTTGTCCCCTGTGTCCCCATTGCCCCTCTACACCCATTGTCCCCATTGTCCTCTGAATTCCCAATGTCCCCATTGCCCTATTGTCCCCACTGTCCCCATTGTCCCCAATGCCCCTCTATCCCCATTGTCCCCATTGCCCCCACTGTCCCATATCCCATTGTCCCCATTGTCCCCTAAATTCTTGATGTCCCCCTTGTCCCCACTGCCCCCATTTTCCCCATTGTCCCCCCTGTCCCCATGTCCCCGCAGTTGTCCCCCTGTCTGTCTCCATGTCCCCCTGTCTGTCCCCATGTCCCCAGCTGTCCCCCATGTCCCCCTGTCTGTCCCCGTGTCCCCCATGTTCCCAGCTGTCCCCCCGTGTCCCCAGGTACCGGTACCTGATGGGCAAGGACACCTGGCTGGAGGAGTGGCCCTCAGAGGCCGCCCCTATATCCCCACTGTCCCCACTGTCCCCACTGTCCCCATTGTCCCCATGTCTCCCTGTCTGTCCCCATTGTCCCCATTGTCCCCTACATCCCCCTGTCTGTCCCCCGTGTCCCCAGCTGTCCCCCCGTGTCCCCAGGTACCGGTACCTGATGGGCAAGGACACCTGGCTGGAGGAGTGGCCTCCAAGGGTCACTGTATCCCCACTGTCACCATTGTCCCCATGATCCCCTCAGTCCCCATGTCCCTGTGTCTGTCCCTGTGTCCCCATATCCCCAAGCTGTCCCCGTGTCCCCAGCTGTCCCCCCATGTCCCCAGGTACTGGTACCTGATGGACAAGGACACCTGGCTGGAGGAGTGGCCCTCAGAGGCCGCCCCTATATCCCCTGGGTCCCCATTGTCCCCAAGTCCCCATTGTCCCCATTGCCCCTATTATCCCCTCTGTCCCTATGTCCCCCTGTCTGTCCCCGTGTCCCCAGCTGTCCCCCGTGTCCCCAGGTACCGGTACCTGATGGGCAAGGACACCTGGCTGGAGGAGTGGCCCTCGGAGGCCGCGTGCCAGGACGCGTCGCTCCAGCGCCGCTGCCAGGACTTCGTCGAGTTCTCCGAGAACATGGCGTTCTTCGGCTGTCCCACCTGAGCCCCCGAGGTGCCACCACCCTGGGGTGCCACCACCCTGAGGTGTCACCACCCTGGGGTGTCACCAACCTTGGGTGCTACCACCTTGAGGTGTCACCAACCCGCTGGTGGCACCCAATTCCGGAGTGTCACCAACCCCCCTCAGCTGGCACCGAGTCCCAGCTGGGTCCCCAAGGTGCCACCACCCTTGGGTGTCACCAACCTGAGGTGTCACCAACCTGAGGTGTCACCAACCCACCCGTGGCACCCAGTCCTGGGGTGTCACCGCTCTTCTCCTGTCACTTTTTGTCCCCTCCTCACGTTTTTTTGGGGGGTTTTTGGTTAAAAAAGTCATTTCTGAGCAATTGGCTTCGGTGTCCTTGAAGGGGGGGACATGTGGGGACACCAAGGGGACATGGGGACATCAGAGGAGACATGGGGACATCAGAGAGGACAGGGGGACATCAGAGGGGTCATGGGGACATCATAGGGGATTTGGGGACACCATGAGGGACATGGGGACATCAGAGAGGACAGGGGGACATCAGAGGGGGCATGGGGACACCACGGATGTCACGGGGAAACCAGACCAGACATGGGGACATCACAAGGGACATGGGGACACCGGAAGGGTCATGGGGGCACCACAGAGGTCATGGGGACATCAGATGGGACATGGGGACACCAGAGAGGACAGGGGGACATCAGAGGGGATGTGGGGACATTATATGGGACATGAGGACATCACAGGGGGCATGGAGACACCACACGGGACATGGGGACACCATAAGGGACTTGGGGACACCAGAGAGGTCATGAGGACATGGTAAGGGACATGGGGACATCATAACGGACATGGGGACACCACAGAGGACATGCGGACGTCATAGTGGTCATGGCGACACCACAGGGGATGTGGGGACACCACAAGGGGCATGGAGACACCAGAGAGGTCATGGGGACATCACAGGGGTCATGGGGACACCATAAGGGACATGGGGGACACCATGGGGGACATGAGGACATCACAGGGGTCATGGGGATATCACAGGGGATGTGGGGACATCAGAGGGGGCGTGGGGACATTGTAACGGACATGGGGACACCATGAGGGACATGGGGACACCATGAGGGACATGGGGACATCACAGGGGATGTGGGGACACCACAAGGGACGTGGGGATACCAAAGAGGACACAGGGACATCAGAGAGGTCGTGGGGACACCACAGGGGGCACAGGGACACCATAACGGACATGGGGACACCACAGAGGACATGGGGACATCAGAGAGGTCATGGGGACACCAGAGGGGACATGGGGACATCCTAGGGGACATGGGGACATCAGAGAGGTCATGGGGACCCAGTAGGAGACAAGGGGACACCAGAGGGGACGTGGGGACATGGTAAGGGACATGGGGACAACACAGGGGACATGGAAACTTCAGAGGGGTCATGGGGACATCATAGAGGACAGGGGGACACCAGAAAGGTCATGGGGACACCAGAGAGGACATGGGGACATCAGAGGGGTCAAGGGGACACCAGAGAGGACATGGGGACATCAGAGGGGGCATGGGGACACCATACCAGTCAAGGACCCCAAACTCTGCATGCCAAACCCCACACCCAAACCCTGCACCCCAAATTTCCCACCCCAAACCCTGCACCCCAAATTTTGCACCCCAAACTCTGCACCCCACATTTCACACCCCAAATTTTCACACCCCAAACTCCACCCCCCAAATTCTGCACCGCACATTTCACACCCCAAGTTCTGCACCCCAAATTCTGCACCCCACACTCAGCACCCCAAACTCCACACCTCCAAACCCCACACCCCAAATTTTGCACCCCAAACTCTGCACCCCACATTTCCCACCCTGAACGCTGCACCCCACATTCGTCACCCCAAATTTTGCACCCCAAACCCTGCACCTGATACTTGGTACCCCAAATTCTGCACCCCACATTTCCCACCCCAAATTTCACACCCCAATCCCCACACCCCAAATTTTGCACCCCAAACTCTGCACCCCACATTTCCTGCCCTGAACGCTGCACCCCACATTCGTCACCCCAAATTTCACACCCCAAATTTCACACCCCAAATTTTGCACACTAAACTCTGAACCCCACATTTCACACCCCAAATTTCACACCCCAAACCCCGCACCCCTCATTTCTCACCCCAAATTTTGCACCCCAAGCCCTGCACCTGGGGCAATTTTGGGGGGTCTCTGGGGCATTTCTACACTCCTGCCCTCACCTGCTCCTGCCTCCACCTTGGCGCAGGAGCGACACAGGTGCGTCCAGGTGTGCCCCAGGTGTGACCAGGTGTGTAATGAGTGTGCCCAGGTGTGCCCGGGTGTGCTCAGTTGTACCCCAGGTGTACCCCAGGTGTGTCTCAGGTGTACCCCAGGTGTGTCCAATATGTTCCAGGTGTGCCCAGGTGCACTCCAGGTGTACCCAGGTGTGTCCCAGGTATGCCCAGGGGTGTCCCAGATGTCCCAGGTGTGTCCAGGTGCCCCCAGGTGTGCCACAAGTGTGCTCAGGTGTGTAATGAGATGTCCCAGGTGTGCCCAGGTGTCCCCAGGTGTGTCCGAGATGTCTCAGGTGTGTCCCCAGGTGTATCCCAGATATTCCCAGGTGTGCCCCAAGTGTGTCCAAGATGTTCCAGGTGTGCCCAGGTGTGTCCAGGTGTATCCAGGTGTGTCCAAGATATGCCCAGGGGTGTCCCAGATGTCCCAGGTGTGTCCCAGGTGTGTCCAGGTGCCCCCAGGTGTACCCCAAGTGTGCTCAGGTGTGTAATGAGATGTCCCAGGTGTGCACAGGTGCGCTCCAGCTGTCCCCAGGTGTGTCCCAGGTGTGTCTCAGATGTCCCAGGTGTGCCCCAAGTGCCCCCGGGTGTGCTCAGGTGTGTGATGAGATGTGCCAGGTGTGTCCCGAATGTCCCAGGTGTGTCTGAGATGTCCCAGGTGCCCCCAGCCATCCCCAGGTGTGTCCCAGGTATCCCCAGGTGTGTCCAGGTGTGTCCCAGGTGTGTCCAGGTGCCCCCAGCTGTCCCCAGGTGTGTCCCCAGGTGTGTCTGAGATGTCCCAGCTGTCCCCAGGTGTGTCCCCAGGTGCCCCCACCTGTCCCCAGGTGTGTCCCTCCCCTCCCCCACAGCCGTTCCCGTTTCTCTGTTTTGTTTTTTTTTTATCTCCAAATTTTTTCCACGAAAATACAAAAATATCCCGGGGGGGAGGGGAGGGGCCAGCAGGTGCCAGTGACAGTGACAGGTGACACCGACAGGTGACAGCAACAGGTGACAGGTGACAGTGACAGGTGACAGTTTGTGACAGTGACAGTGACAGGCTCAGATGGCACCGGGGGGTGCCCAGATGAGGGGGGGCCCCACAGTGGGGGGGGGGACACAAAGGAATTTGGGGGTCCCCAGGTTCAAAGGGGGGGGGGCCCACGGGGAATTTTGGGGTTCGGAATTTGGGGGTCCGCAGGTCCGGGGGGGGAGGGGGGGGGCACAGGGAATTTTTGGGGGACTCCCCAGGGGGGGCTCAGGGCACTTCGGGGGTCCAGCAGATTTTGGGGGGTGGGGGGGGGGGTTCCAGCTTTTGGGGGGGGCTCCCCCTAATTATGGGGGGCCCCCCAGTTATGGGGGTCCCCAATCCCCGGGGGAGGTCCTGGGAGGTTTTGGGGGGTCCCCAGTCCCACAGGCCCTGGGGGGTTTTTGGGGTGTCCTGGGATTTTTGGGGTCCCAGTGGTTTTTGGGGGTCCCGGGGGTGTCCCAGAGTTTTGGGGTCCCCAATTCTGAGGGGTTTTGGGGTCCCCACCTGGGGGGAACCCAGGGGTTTTTGGGGTCCCAGGAAGTTTTTGGGGTCTCCCGGGGTTTTGAGGGTCCCGGGATTTCGGGGTGTCCTGGGATTTTGGGGTCCCCATCGAGAGGGGTCTCAGTGGTTTTTGGGGTGTCCCAGAGTTTTGGGGTCCCCAGTCCTGGGGGATTTTGGGGTTCCCATTTGGAAGGGTCCCGGAATTTTTGGGGTCCCAGCGTTTTTTGGGGTGTCCCGGGATTTTGTAGTGTCCTGGGGAGTTTTGGGGGTCCTGATTCAAGGGAGCCCCTGGGGGTTTTGGGGGTGTCCCGGGGTTTTGGGGTTCCCAATCCCAGGGGATTTTGGGGTCCCCATCCAGGAGGGTCCCAAGGTTTTTGGGGTCCCAGATAGTTTTTGGGGTTTCCCGGGGTTTTGGGGGTCCCGGGATTTCGGGGTGTCCTGGGATTTTGGGGTCCCCATCAAGAGGGGTCTCAGTGGTTTTTGGGGTGTCCCAGAGTTTTGGGGTCCCCAATCCCGGGGAGTTTTGGAGTCTCCATTTGGGAGGGTCCCAGCGTTTTTTTGGGGTCCCCATTCAGGAGAGTCCCGGGATTTTTTGGGGTGTCCCAGCGGTTTTTGGGGTGTCCTGGGGTTGTGTAGTGCCCCAGGGAGTTTTGAGGGTCCTGATTTGGGGGCCCCCAGGGAGTTTTGGGGGTGTCCCAGGGTTTTGGGGTCCCCAATCCCAGGCGATTTTGGGGTCCCCATTTTGGGGGGGTCCCAAGGTTTTTGGGGTCCCAGTAGTTTTGAGGGTCCGGATTTGGGGGTGTCCCAGGGAGTTCCGGGGGTGTCCCAGGGTTTTGGGGTCCCCAATCCCAGTGGGTTTTGGGGTCCCCATTCAGGGGGGTGTCCCAGGGTTTTGGGGGTCCCAGGGAGTTTTGTAGTGTCCTGGGGGTTTTGGGGTGTCCTGGGCTTTTGGGGTCCCCATCAGGAGGTCTCCCAGAGTTTGGGGGTCCCAGTGGGTTTTGGGTTCCCAGTGGTTTTGGGGTCCCCATCATGGGATGTCCGGGGTTTTTGGGGTGTCCCAGGGAGTTTTGTAGTGTCTCGTGGTTTTTGGGGTCCCGGGGTTTTGGGGTCCCCATCAGGAGGTGTCCCAAGGTTTTGGGGTCCTGGGGTTTGGGGTTCCCAGGTCTTGGGGTCACAGTGGTTTTGGGGTGTCTGGGGGTTTTGGGGTCCCAGCAGTTTTGGGGTCCAGTGGTTTTTGGGGATCCAGTGGGTTTTGGGATCCTGAGGTTTTTGGGGTTTTGTGGTTTTGGGGTCCCAGTGGTTTTTGGGGTCCCCATCAGGGAGTGTCCTGGGATTTTGGGGGTCCCAGTGGTTTTGGGGTGTCTTGGGTTTTGGGGTCCCAGTGGTTTTTGGGGATCCCATGTTTTTGGGGTCCCAGTGCTTTTGTGGTCCCAGGTTTGGGGGTCCCAGTGGTTTTTGGGGTCCTGGGTTTTGGGGTTCCAGGATTTTGGGGTCCTGCGTTTTGGGGTCCCAGTGGTTTCGGGGTCCCGGGTTTTGGGGTCCCGGGGTTTTGGGGTCCCCATTTGGGGGTGTCTTGGGGTTTTGGGGTGCCAGGTTTTGGAGTCCCACCCAGGCAGTTTTGGGGGGGGTCCCAGTGGTTTTGGGGTCCTGGTTTTTGGGGTCCCAGCCAGGCGGTTTTTGGGGTCCCAGTTTTGGGGGGCTCCCGTTTTCCGGCTCTCAGCAGCGTCCGGCCTTGGCGTCGCCGATGGCGCCCCAGACGTCGAACACGAACTCGTCGGGGAAGGCGAAGTCGCCGAGCTGAGCGTCCAGAGCCTCGGCCAGCGCGTCGGGGTCGCGGGCGTCGCGGCCCAGCTCCACCATGGTGGCGGCTGCGGGGACATGGGGACATTGGGGACATTGGGGACATTGGGGACATATTGGGGACATTGGGGACATTGGGGACATTGGGGACACACTGGGGGCATTGGGGACATTGGGGACACTGGGGGCATTGGGGACACACTGGGGGCATTGGGGACATCGGGGACACATTGGGGACATTGGGGACACACTGGGGGCATTGGGGACATTGGGGACACTGGGGGCATTGGGGACACACTGGGGGCATTGGGGACATCGGGGACACATTGGGGACATTGGGGACACATTGGGGACATTGGGGACACACTGGGGGCATTGGGGACATCGGGGACATGTTGGGGACATTGGGGACATTGGGGACATGTTGGGGGCACTGGGGACATCGGGGACACATTGGGGACATTGGGGACATTGGGGACACTGGGGACATCGGGGACATGTTGGGGACATTGGGGACACACACAGTGTCGGGGACATTGGGGACATTGGGGACACATTGGGGACACGTCGGGGTCACGGGCGTCAGGGCCCAGCTCCACCATGGTGGCGGCTGTGGGGACACTGGGGACACTGGGGACACACACAGTGTCGGGGACATTGGGGACATCGGGGACATCGGGGACATTGGGGACACATTGGGGTCACGGGCATTGCGCCCCAGCTCCACCATGGTGGCGGCTGCAGAGACACTGGGGACATTGGGGTCACTGGGGTCACTGGGGACATCGGGGACATTGGGGACACATTGGGGACACGTCGGGGTCACGGGCGTCAGGGCCCATCTCCACCATGGTGGCAGCTGCAGGGAGACTGGGGACATCGGGGACATGTTGGGGACATTGGGGACACCGTCAGGGTCACAGGCGTCGCGGCCCAGCTCCACCATGGTGGCGGCTGCGGGAACATTGGGGACACATTAGGGACATTGGGGACATCGGGGGCATTGGGGTCACTGGGGACATTGGAGGCATTGGGGACATCGGGGACATTGGGGACATGTTGGGGTCACGGGCGTCACGGCCCAGCTCCACCATGGTGGCGGCTGCGGGGACATCGGGGACATCGGGGACATTGGGGACCTTGGGGACACCATCAGGGTCACGGGCGTCGCGGCCCAGCTCCACCATGGTGGCGGCTGCGGGGACGCTGGGGACACTGGGGACGTTGGGGGACACTGGGGACGTTGGGGGACATGGGGGACAGGAACAGCATTGTCACAGACTGGGGACATCAGGGCACAGCCCAGGGATCCCGGGGCTTGGTTCCCCCAGGATTTTGGGGTCCCTGTGGATTTCGGGGTGCTCCCCCAGCTCGCTGTCCCGGATGCCCATGGAGCTCCGCAGCAGAGCCCGGGGGGGTTTGGGGTGTTCAGGGCAGTTTTGGGGTGATCCCCAGGTGTTTTTTGGGGTCCCCCAGGATTTTTGGGGGGTCCCCAGGATTTTGCGGTTCCCAGATTTCGGGGTGCTCCCCCAGCTCGCTGTCCTGGATGGAGCTCCCCAACAGAACTCGGGGGGTTTGGGGTGATCGAGGCAGTTTTGGGGTGATCCCGGGGGTTTTTTTAGGGGGTTCCCCTGGATTTTGGGGTCCCTGAGGATTTCGGGGTCCCTGTGGATTTCGGGGTGCTCCCCCAGCTCGCTGTCCCGGATGCCCATGTAGGTCTCCAGCAGAACCCGGAGGGTTTGGGGTGATCCCAGGGAGTTTTTTTGGGGTAATCCCTGGGATTTTGGGGTTCCCCCAGGATTTTGGGGTCCCGGATTTTGGGGTGTCGCAGTTTTCGGGGTGCTCACCCAGCTCGCTGTCCCGGATGCCCATGTAGCTCTCCAGCAGATCGTCCACCTTGGCCACCGCGCGCTCCTCGAACGCCGACGGCTGCGGGGATTTGGGGCGTTTTGGGCGATTTTGGGGGATTTTGGGGGGTCCCACGGGGATTTTGGGGATCCCAAAGAGATTCTGGGGGTTCCCAAAGGGATTTTGGTGGTTCTGAAGGGATTTTGGGGGGTCCCCAAGGGGATTTTGAGGATCCCGAGGGTCCTAAGGGGATTTTGGGGGTCTCCGGGGTGATTTTTGGGGGTCCTTGGGGACATTTTGGGGGGTCCCAAGGGGATTTTGGGGTCCCCAGGACATTTTGGGATTGCATGGGATATTTTGGGGTCTCCAGTGGATATTTTGGGGGTTCCCAGACTGGTTTTGGGGGTTCTAGGGGATGTTTTGGGGTGTTTTTGGGGTGTTTTTGGGGTGATTTCGTGCCCTTTTGGGTCCGTACCTGCTCCTGCAGCGTGGCCTGTTATGGGGGTGTTTTTGGGGTGATTTTAGGGTGTTTTTGGGGTGATTTTGGGTGGTTTTGGGTCCGTACCTGCTCCTGCAGTGTGGCCAGTTTTGGGGTGATTTTAGGGTGTTTTTGGGGTGATTTTGGGCCGTTTTGGGTCCGTACCTGCTCCTGCAGCAGTTTTGGGGTCTCCAGGGGATGTTTCTGGGGTGTTTTTGGGGTGATTTTGGGGTTATTTTGTGCTGTTTTGGGTCCGTACCTGTTCCTGAAGCGTGGCCTGTTTTGGGGGTGTTTTGGGGTGATTTTAGGGTGTTTTTGGGGTTATTTTGTGCTGGTTTGGGTCCGTACCTGTTCCTGAAGCATGGCCTGTTTTGGGGGTGTTTTGGGGTGAATTTAGGGTGTTTTTGGGGTTATTTTGGGTCCGTACCTGCTCCTGCAGCGTGGCCGGGCCCCTTGAGCGCAGCCTCAGCGTCCCCCGGCCCGAGAGCACCTGGGGGGGCCCCCCCCGAGCCGAGACCCCCCCGGAACGGGGCCCGATCCCGTCTGGGGACAGAGGGGACACAGAGGGGTCACACAGGGGACAGGGAGGGGACAGGGAGGGGACACAGAGGGGACACAGAGGGGACACAGAGGGGTCACACAGGGAACAGAGAGGGGACAGAGAGAAGAGACAGAGGAGTCACATGGGGGGACAGAGGGGGGGCACACAGGGGGGACACAGGGGACAGATGGGGACATGGGGGACAGAGGGGACAGGGAGGAGCCACAGGGGACACAGAGGGGTCACAGACGGGACAGAGGGGACACAGAGGGGATGGGGGGTCAGAGAGGGGACACAGAGGGACAGGGAGGGGACAGAGGGGACACACAGGGTCACACAGGGGACAGATGGGGACACCGAGGGGACACAGAGGACAGGGAGGGGACACAGGGGCAGAGGGGATGCAGGGGACAGAGGGGACAAGGGGGACACCAGAGGCCCTCCCGGGCTTGGTCAGCCTCAGCCTGAAGTGGTGCCCTCGGGGCAGCTCCAGCTCCATCGATCCCATTCACTCCCAGTTAAATCCCAGTCCATCCCAGTTCAATCCCAATCACTCCCAGTTCAATTCCAGCCCATCCCAGTTAAATCCCAGTCCATCCCAGTTCAATCCCAATCACTCCCAGTTCAATCCCAATCACTCCCAGTTCAATCCCATTGATTCCCAGTCCCTCCCAGTCCCTCCCAGTACCCACCCCAGGCTCTCCGTGGTTCCGTCAGCCTCAGCCTGAAGTGGTGCCCTCGAGGCAGCTCAAGCTCCATCAATCCCAGTTCAATCCCAGTCCATCCCAGTTCAATCCCATTGATTCCCAGTCCCTCCCAGTCCCTCCCAGTCCATCCCAGTCCCTCCCAGTACCCACCCCAGGCTCTCCGTGGTTCCGTCAGCCTCAGCCTGAACTGGTGTCCGCGGGGCAGCTCCTGCAGCAGCCGCGCCACCTCGAAGTGCCGCGTGCCCACCAGGCTGCGCCCGTCCAGCGCCTCCAGCACGTCCCCGACGCCCACCTGGGGCGTGCGCGCCATCACCGACCCTTCCCGGATCCGCTGGGGGGGAAAACACACCTGGGTCACACCTGAGTCACACCTGGGAACACCTGGAGTAACACTGGTAACCTGGGGGAACCTGGGGTCTGGGTAACCCAGGTAACCTGGGTCACACCTGGGGCGTGCGCGCCATCACCGAGCCCTCGCGGAGCCTCTATGTGGGGGAAAACACACCTGGGTCACACCTGAGTTACACCTGAGATACCTGGGACACACCTGGGAACACCTGGGTAACCTGTGTAACCTCTGTAACCTAGCTAACCCGGGTAACCTGGGTCACACCTGGGGCGTGTGCGCCATCACCGAGCCCTCGTGGATCCTCTATGTGGGGGAAAACACACCTGGGTCACACCTGGGTTACACCTGGGTTACACCTGAGATACCTGGGACACACCTGGAAACACCTGGGTAACCTGTGTGACCTGTGTAACCCAGCTAACCTGGGTCACACCTGGGGCATGCGCGCCATCACCGAGCCCTCGTGGATACGCTGGGGGGGGAAACACACCTGAGTTACACCTGAGTTACACCTGAGATACACCTGAGATACCTGGGACACACCTGGGAACACCTGGGTAACACCTGGCTCACACCTGGGGCGTGTGCGCCATCACCGACCCTTCACGGATCCTCTATGTGGGGGAAAACACACCTGGGTCACACCTGAGTTACACCTGAGATACCTGGGACACACCTGGGAACACCTGTGTAACCTGTGTAACCTCTGTAACCTAGCTAACCCGGGTAACCTGGGTCACACCTGGGGCGTGTGCGCCATCACCGAGCCCTCATGGATACGCTGGGGGGGAGAGACACACCTGGATTACACCTGGGACACACCTGGGGGCACCTGAACCGCCTGGGAACACCTGTGTAACCCAGCTAACCCAGGTCACACCTGGGGCATGCGCGCCATCACCGAGCCCTCACGGATCCTCTAGAGGGGACAGAAGGGACATCTGAGATACACCTGGGCACACCTGAGTTACACCTGAACCACCTGGGAACACCTGGGTAACCCCTGGGTAACACCTGGGTAACGTGGGGTCTGGGTAACCTGGGTAACACCTGGGGCGTGCGTGCCATCACTGACCCCTCATGGATCCTCTGTGTGGGGGAGAGACACACCTGAGTTACACCTGGGACACACCTGAGCTACCTGGGACACACCTGTGTAACACCCGGGTCACACCTGGGGCGTGCGCGCCATCACTGAGCCCTCACGGATACGCCAAGGGGACACAGACACACCTGGGTTACACCTGGGACGCACCTGAACCACCTTGGACACACCTGTGTAACCTGTGTAACCTGTGTAACCTAGCTAACCCGGGTAACCTGGGTCACACCTGGGGCAGGCGCGCCATCACCGACCCCTCACAGATCCTCTGCAAACAGGGACACACCTGGGTCACACCTGGGTTACACCTGAGATACACCTGAGTTACACCTGGGAACACCTGGAGTAACACTGGTAACCTGGGGTCTGGGTAACCCGGGTAACCTGGGTCACACCTGGGGCGTGCGCGCCATCACCGAGCCCTCATGGATCCTCTGGAGGGGAGAGACACACCTGGATTACACCTGAGTTACACCTGGGGGCACCTGAACCACCTGGGAACACCTGGGTAACACCTGGGTAACACCTGGGTAACGTGGGGTCTGGGTAACCTGGGTCACACCTGGGGCGTGCGTGCCATCACTGACCCCTCATGGATACGCTGGGGACACAGACACACCTGGGACACACCTGGGGACACCTGGGTCACACCTGAGGTCATCTGGGGTCACCTGTGGTTGGTGATGGTGAGCCCCAGCACTGTCCCACTGCCCCCACCCTGCTGTCCCCAGGTGTGTCTCACCTACCCAGGTGTGTCTTACCTGCCCAGGTGTGTCTTACCTGCCCAGGTGTGTCTCACCTGTCCCTAGGTGTGGCCCCAGGTGTGTCTCACCTTGGTGAAGGCGTAGCCCGCTCCATTGTTGCTGACAGTGAGCCTCACTGTCCCCACCCAGGTGTGTCTCACCTGCCCAGGTATGTCTCGCCTACCCAGGTGTGTCCCCAGGTGTGTCTCACCTGTCCCTAGGTGTGTCGTCCCCAGGTGTGTCTCACCTTGACGAAGGCGTAGCCCATTCTGTTGTTGGTGATGGTGAGCCCCAGCACACACACCCAGGTGTGTCCCCAGCTGTCCCCAGGGGTGTCTTACCTGCCCAGGTGTGTCTCACCTGTCCCTAGGTGCGTCCCCAGGTGTGTCTCACCTTGACGAAGGTGTATCCAGTGCTGCTGTCGGTGATAGCGAGCCCCATTGCCCCCACCCAGGTGTGTCTCACCTGTCCCCCACGTGTGTCCCCAGGTGTCCCCAGGTGTGTCCCACCTGCCCAGGTGTGTCCCCAGGTGTGTCTCACCTGCCCAGATGTGTCCCCAGGTGTGTCTCACCTGTCCCAGGTGTGTCTCACCTTGATGAAGGCGTATCCGGCGCCGTTGTCGGTGATGGTGAGCCCCAGCGCCTCCTCGGATTTCAGCACCTGCACTGTCCCCGTGTGTTCCCATGTGTGCCCAGGTGTGTCCCCAGGTGTGTCTCACCTGTCCCAGGTGTGTCTCACCTTGATGAAGGCGTATCCAGCCCCATTGTCGGTGATGGTGAGCCCCAGCTCTGTCCCTATGTGTCCCCAGCCGTACCCAGCTGTCCCAGGCGTGTCCCCAGGTGTGTCCCCAGGTGTGTCTCACCTGTCCCAGGTGTGTCTCACCTTGATGAAGGCGTATCCGGCGCCGTTGTCGGTGATGGTGAGCCCCAGCGCCTCCTCGGATTTCAGCACCTGCACGTCCTTCTGGCGGCCGCGCGTGTGCGCGAAGATGAAATCCTCGAGGCCGATCTGCCCGCCCAGGAGCTTCTCCATGTCCACCTGGGGCGTGTTCAGCGTGCAGAACAGCACCTGCGACAGGTGGGGACAGTGGGGACATTGGGGACAACACCTGGGGGACAGGGGATAACACCTGGGGCAGCATCAGGGGACATTGGGGACAAACCCTGCAGCCCAATCTGCCCCCCCAGGAGCTTCTCCATGTCCACCTGGGGCGTGTTCAGCGTGCAGAACAGCACCTGCGACAGGTGGGGACAGTGGGGACACTGGGGACAACACCTGGGGCAGGGGATAACACCTGGGGGACAGGGGATAACACCTGTGGACACTGGGGACAAATCCCCCATCCCAATCTGCCCGCCCAGGAGCTTCTCCATGTCCACCTGGGGCGTGTTCAGTGTGCAGAACAGCACCTGGGGACAGGTGGGGACATTGGGGACACAGGACAGAACATGGGGACATCACCTAGGGCAGGGGACATCACCTGGGGACACTGGGGACATCACCTGGGAGAGGGGACATCACCTGGGGACACTGGGGACATCACCTGGGACAGGGGACAACACCTGGGGACGCTGGGGACATCACCTGGGAGAGGGGACATCACCTGGGGACGCTGGGGACAGGGGGCATGGGGACATTGGCGTGTTCAGCGTGCAGAACAGCACCTGGGGACAGGGGACAACACCTGGGGACGCTGGTGTGCTCAGTGTGGCATCCCAGTATATCCCAGTCCCTGCCAGTCCCTCCCAGTATAACCCAGCCCAATTTCAGGCCATCCCAGTATAACCCAGTATAGCCCAGCCTGTCCCAAACCCCTCCCAGTACAACCCAATGCATTCCCAGTATAACCCAGTACATCCCAGTCTATCCCAGTATAACCCAGTCTATCCCAGTATAACCCAGTCTATCCCAGTCTATCCCAGTATAACCCAGTCTATCCCAGTATAACCCAGTCTATCCCAGTATAACCCAGTACATCCCAGTCTATCCCAGTATAACCCAGTCTATCCCAGTCTATCCCAGTCTATCCCAGTATAACCCAGTCTATCCCAGTATAACCCAGTCTATCCCAGTCTATCCCAGTCTATCCCAGTATATCCCAGTCTATCCCAGTCTATCCCAGTATAACCCAGTATATCCCAGTATATCCCAGTATATCCCAGTATAACCAGTCTCACCTCGCTGGGGGGGATCCCGAAGGCCTCCCCGATTTTCCCGTACAGCTCCCGCACGTTCCCAAACCCCATCCCAGTATAACCCAGTATAACCCAGAATAACCCAGTATATCCCAGTCTATACGAATCGATCCCAGTATAACCCAGTCCATCCCAGTATATCCCAGTATATCCCAGTATAACCCAGTATATCCCAGTATGACCAGTCTCACCTCGCTGGGGGGGATCCCGAAGGCCTCCCCGATTTTCCCGTACAGCTCCCGCACGTTCCCGAACCCCATCCCAGTATATCCCAGTCTATCCCAGTATAACCCAGCCTGTTCCCAGCCCATCCCAATCCATTCCCAGTATATCCCAGTATATCCCAGTATAACCAGTCTCACCTCGCTGGGGGGGATCCCGAAGGCCTCCCCGATTTTCCCGTACAGCTCCCGCACGTTCCCGAACCCCATCCCAGTATATCCCAGTATATCCCAGTATAACCCAGTATATCCCAGTATAACCAGTCTCACCTCGCTGGGGGGGATCCCGAAGGCCTCCCCGATTTTCCCGTACAGCTCCCGCACGTTCCCGAACCCCTCCACGCGCCCGGTGGCGCTGCCGTGCGCCAGCTGCGTGTGGAACACCAGGCGGGGCCGCAGCGGGTGGGGGGGGGGCGCCGCCCCCGGGACCCCCCCCGGGGCCCCCCCGGGCTCCCCCGGGGCCCCCCCGCGCCCCCCGGCCCCCTCCTCGTTCTCCACCAGCGGCGGCGGCTTCTTGCGGCGGCCCAGCCCCAGCGGCATCCCGGGGCTCAGGGGAGGGGGATCTGGGGAGACTGGGGGGTCTAGGAGGGGATTGGAGGGGTCTAGGAGGGGTTGGGGGGGTCTAGGAGGGGATTTGGGGGGAGTTTGGGGGGATTTGGGGGGTCTAGGAGGGGATTGGAGGGTCTAGGAGGGGATTTGGGGGGGTTTGGGGGGTCTTGGCGAGGTTTGGGGGATCTAGGAGGGGGATTGGGGGCTCTAGGAGGGGGTTTTTTGGGGGGCTGGGGGGGTCTAGAGGGGATTGGGGGGTCTAGGATGGGGTTTGGGGGAGTTTGGGGGGCTCTAGGAGGGGCTTTTGGGGGGTTTAGGTGGAGCTGAGGGGGTGTGGAGGGGTCTGGGGAGAGTTTTGGGGGGTCCAGGAATGGGTTTTGGGGGGCTGGAGGGGTCTTGGGGGGTCAGAAGGGGGTTTTGGGGGGGTGAGGAGGGGATTTGGGGGGGTCTAGGGAGGGTTTGGGGGAGCCTTGGGGGTTCTGAGGGGGTTTTGGGGGGGTGTAGAGGGGATTGAGGGGGTCTAGGACAGGGTTTGGGGGGTTTTGGGGAGTCTAGGGGTGTTTTGGGGGGTCTTGGGGGGCTGGGGGAGTCTGGTGGAGGTTTGGGCGTCTAGGAGGAGATTTTGGGGGGCTTTGGGGGTGTCTGGGGGGGATTTGGGTGGAGCCGAGGGGGTCCGGGGGGTTTTGGGGGCTCTGGTGGGGGGTTCAGGGGGGTTTTGGGGGCGTTCGGGGCTTTCTGGGGGGCGTCGAGTTGGTTTTGGGGGGTGCCCAGGGGGGTCCCGGTGTCCCTGGGGGGGTCCCGGTGTCCCCGGGGGGCTCCCGGTGTTCCCGGGGCTCTCTCGCTGCCCCCTCCCCGGTATTTCGGGGGGGTCCCGCTCTGCTCCGCTGGGGCTGAAAGGCGAGAGGGGAAACTGAGGCACGGAGCGGGGGTCCCCGAGCCCCGGTTCCTCCCCCGGTCCCTCCCCGGTTTCCCCCCGGTCCCTCCCGCTCCCGGGCCCGGTTCCCCCCCGGGACCCCCGGCCCGGCCCCGGTTCCGGTTCCGGTTCCCGCCGGGCCCCGGCCCCGCCCCCTCCCGCACGCGGTCCCGGCCCCCCCGGGCTCGGTCCCGGTCCCGGTTCCGTTTCCGGTTCCGGTTCCGGTTTCGGTCCCGGTCCCGGTCCCCCCTCACCGGCCGGGCGCTGCTGCCGGAGCGGCACTTCCGGGAGGGCGTGGCCAAACCCCGCCCGCACCAATCAGCGCCGCCGCCCCGCCCCGCTCGCACCAATCCGCGCCGCCGCCGTGCCCCGCGCGGACCAATGGGAGGCGGGGGAGCAGGAAAGGGCGTGGCCGCTCACTCCCTCCCCCCTCCAGCGCCGCCGGCAATGGGCGCGCCCGCGCTCGCAGCCAATCAGGAGCCAGCGCGGAGCGTTGTGGGGGCGGGGCAATGAGGGGGAGGGGCTAAGAGGGGCGTGGTTCGAAGGGGCGGGGCCAGAAGCGCGGAGGAGCGGCGGAGCGGAGCTCAAAGGGGGCGGGGCTAAACCCCAAGGGGCGGGGCTCAGATCCCAAAGGAGGCGGGCTAGAACCCAAAGGGGCGGGGCTCAGACCTCAAAGGGGGCGGGGCAGGCCCCAAAGGGGCGGGGCTGAGATCCCAAAGTGGGCGGGGTGGGAACGGAGCCAGTGAGGGGATTGAGGGAGGGGTCACACACCTGGGCACAGATGGGACACGCCCATTACACACCTGTGCACACCTGGGCACAGCTAGGCACAGCTGGGACACACCCATTGCACACCTGGGAGACACACCTTACACACCTGTACACACCTGCAACTTGTTACACACCTGTGCACACCTGTTCCACACCCATTATGCACCTGTACACACCTGTACACACCTTTACACACCTGTACACACCTGTTACACACCTGTACACACCTGTAACTTGTTACACACCTGTGCCCACCTGTACACACCTGTTCACACCTGTGCACACTGGTAGCTGAAATATCGCCCTTACACACCTGTGCACACCTGGCACACCTGTACGCACCTGTAATCTGTTACACAGCCCTTACACACCTGTTACACACCTTTGCACACCTGTTTCACCCATGCACAGCTGGGACACAGCCCTTACACACACATTACACACCCGTACACACCTGCACCCACCAAGTACACACCTGCCACACCTTTACACACCTGTTATGTGTATACACCTGTGCCCACCCATTACACACCTGTACACACCTGTTGAACCCCCCTGTGCTCACTGGGGTGCCCCGGGGCCGTTTTGGGGTCAATCCCGAAGGTTTTGGGGTCGATCTTGGGGATTTGAGGGTCACAGAAATTTGGGGTGAACTCCCGAGGATTTTGGGGTGAATTCTGGAGGATTCTGGGGTGAATTCCAGAGAATTTTTGGGGCGAATTCCTTAGGATTTTTGGGGTGAATTCCGGAGGAATTTTGGGGCGAATTCCCGAAGGTTTTGGGATCGCTCGTGGGGATCTGGGGGTCCTGGCCGGGGTTTTTGGGGTGAATCCAAGGAATTTTGGGGTCGACTCGAGGCTTTTTGGGGTCCTGTATTTCTGTACAGCGGGGGAGGGGCGCGGGGGGGGGGGGGGGTCCCCACAATTGTCCCGGTCCGGGATCCGTCCACGGGATCCATTTGGGGTCCAGGGGATCCATTGGGGGTCTGGGATCCGTCCAGGGGGGTCCAGGATCCATCCAAGGGGGTCCATTTGGGGTCCAGAATCCACCCAGGGGACCCAGGATGTGTCCAGGGGGTCCATCTGGGATCTGGGATCCATTTGGGGACTCCGGAATCTGTCCAGGGGATCCATTTGGAGTCCAGGGGATCAATTTGGGGTCCAGGACGTGTCCATGGGTCCACGGAGTTCCAGGATCCATCCAGAGGATCCATTTGGGTCCTGGGATCCATTTGGGGACTCTGGAATCTGTCCGGGGGATCCATTTGGGGTCTGGGATCCACTCAGGGGTCCAGGGGGATCCAGGATCTGTCCAGGGGATCCATTTGGGGTCCGGGATCCATTTGGGGACTCCGGAATCCGTCCATGGGATCCATTTGGGGTCCATGATCCATTTGGTGTCCGGGATCCACCCAGGGGATTCAGGATCAGTCTGAGGGGTCTGGGATCCATCCAGGGGATCCATTTGGGGTTTGGGATCCGTCCGGGGAGTCCAGAGGGGTCTGGGATCCATTTGGGGACTCCAGAATCCGTCCATGGGATCCATTTGGAATCAGGGAATCCATTTGAGGTCCAGGATACATCCGGTGGTCCAGGGGGGTCTGGGATCCGTCCAGGGGATCCATTTGGGGTCTGAAATCTGTCCAGGGGTCCAGGGGGATCCAGGATCAGTCCAGAGGGTCCAGGATCCACCCAGGGGATCCATCTGGGGTCCAGGATCCATCCAGGGGATCCATTTGGGGTCCAGGATCCATCCAGGGGATCCATGATCTGTCTGGGGGCCCAGAGGGGTCCGAGATCTGTGCAGGGGATCCATTTGGGATCCAGGATCAATCTGGGGGTCCAGGATTTGTTCGGGGGGTCCATTTGAGATCTGGGATCCATTCAAGTGGTCCAGACCCATTTGGGGTCCAGGATCCATCCAGGGGATCCAGGGGGATCCGGGATCCATCCAGGGGGTCCATCTGGGGTCCGGGATCTGTCCGGGGGATCCATTTGGGATCCAGGATCCATCTGGAGGTTTGGGATCCACTCAGGGGCTCCGGTATCCCTCCGAGGGGCCCAGGGGGATCCGGGATCCATCCAGGGGGTCCAGGATCCATCCAGGGAATCCAGAGAGCTCTGGAATCAATCTGGGGGGCTCTGGGATCCATCCAGGAGGGGTTCAGAGTCCGGGATCCACTTGGGGATCTGGGATCCATCCAGAGGGGTCTGGGATCCATTTGGGAGGAGTCCAGAGGGATCTGGGACCCACCCTGCGAGTCCAGAGGGGTCCAGGGTCCATCTGAACAGTCTGGGATCCATTTGGGGATCTGGGATCCACCCAGGGAGTCCAGGGGGGTCCGGGATCCATCCAGAGAGCCCAGGATCCATTTGAGGGGGGTCCAGGGGGATCTGGGACCCATCCAGAAGACCCAGAGGGATCTTGGATCCATTTGGGGGGGGGGTCCAGGGAGATCCAGGATCTGTCTGGTGAGTCCAGGGGGGTCCAGAATCCATTTGAAGAGTCCAGTATGCATTTGGGGGGCCCAGGATCCATGTGGGGAGTCCAGGATCCATTTCAGGATCTGGGATCCATTTGTGGGCTCCAGAACCCATCTGGGGGTGTCCAGGATCCATTTGTGGGGCCCAGGACCCACCCGGGGGTGTCCAGGGGGATCCGGTCACGCCCTTGTTGGTCCCACGGCATCCAGGAGGGGATCGGGCCTGGGATCCACAGCCGGGATCCGGCCATGTCCAGTGTCCAGGGCTGTCCTGGGAGTGTCCCTGTCCTGCATCTGTCCCTGTCCTGTAATTGTCCCTGTCCCATTGTCCAGCCGTGTCCTGGCATCCGGCTGTGTCCCTGTCCCTGTCCAGCAGTGCTCCTGTCCCTGTCCAGTGTCCAGCTGTGTCCCTGTCCCAGTGTCCAGCTGTGTCCCTGTCCCAGTGTCCAGCAGTGTCCCTGTCCCTGTCCAGTGTCCAGCTGTGTCCCTGTCCCTGTCCCAGTGTCCAGCTGTGTCCCTGTCCCTGTCCAGTGTCCAGCAGTGCTCCTGTCCCTGTCCAGTGTCCAGCTGTGTCCCTGTCCCAGTGTCCAGCAGTGTCCCTGTCCCTGTCCAGTGTCCAGCAGTGTCCCTGTCCCTGTCCAGTGTCCAGCTGTGTCCCTGTCCCTGTCCCAGTGTCCAGCTGTGTCCCTGTCCCTGTCCAGTGTCCAGCAGTGTCCCTGTCCCTGTCCTGGCCATGTCCAGTGTTGTCCTGGGATCCGGCCGTGTCCCTGTTCCTGCTCTGGGACTTGGCTGTCGTGTCCAGCAGTGTCCCTGTCCCTGTCCTGGCCATGTCCAGTGTTGTCCTGGGATCCAGCCATGTCCCACGATTTGGCCGTGTCCAGTGTCCGGCTGTGTCCCTGTCCCTGTCCTGGGATCTGGCTGTCATGTCCAGCTGTGTCCCTGTCCCTGTCCTGGCTGTGTCCAGTGTCCAGCTGTGTTGTGTCCAGCTGTGTCCCTGTCCCTGTCCAGTGTCCAGCTGTGTCCAGTGTCCAACAGTGTCCCTGTCCCTGTCCAGTGTCCAGCAGTGTCCTTGTCCCTGTCCAGTGTCCAGCCGTGTCCCTGTCCCAGGATCTGTCCCTGCTCTGGGCTCCGGCTGTTGTGTCCAGCAGTGTCCCTGTCCCTGTCCCAGGATCTGTCCCTGCTCTGGGCTCCGGCTGTTGTGTCCAGCAGTGTCCCTGTCCCTGTCCTGGCCATATCCAGCTGTGTTGTGTCCAGCAGTGTCCTGGTTGTGTTCTGGGCTCTGGATGTGTCCAGTGTCCGGCCGCGTCCCTGTCCCTGCTCTGGGATCTGTCCCTGTTGTGGCAATGTCCCTGTCCCAGGGGCTGGCTGTGTCCATCTGTGTCCCTGTTCCAGGATGTGTCCCAGGGCCTGGCCATGTCCCAGGACTGTCCCTGTCCCTGTCCTGGGATCTGGCTGTCATGTCCAGCTGTGTCCCTGTCCCTGTCCCGGCTGTGTCCGTTGTCCAGCTGTGTCCCTGTCCCGTGTCCAGCTGTGTCCCTGTCCCGTGTCCAGCTGTGTCCCTGTCCTGTGTCCAGTGTCCAGCTGTGTCCCCATCCCTGTCCCTGTCCTGGCCATATCCAGTGTCCGGCCGTGTCCCTGTTCCTGCTCTGGGACTTGGCTGTCGTGTCCAGCAGTGTCCCTGTCCCTGTCCTGGAATTGTCCCTGTCTCAGTGTCTGGCTGTGTCCAGTGTCCAGCAATGTCCTGGGATCTGGTTGTGTCCAGCAGTGTCCCAGCACTGTCCCTGTCCCGGGATCTGTCCCTGTCCCAGCACTGTCCTGGCTGTATCCCTGGACTGTCCCTGGCCTTTTCCCTGCCTCAGGTGTGTCCCTGTCCCAGGTGTGTCCCTGTTTCTGTCCCTGTCCCAGGTGTGTCCCTGTCCCTGGAGTGTCCCTGTCCCTGTCCCAGGTGTGTCCCTGTCCCAGGTGTGTCCCTGTTCCTGTCCCTGTCCCAGGTGTGTCCCTGTTCCTGTCCCAGGTGTGTCCCTGTCCCTGTCCCAGGTGTGTCCCTGTCCCAGGTGTGTCCCTGTTCTTGTCCCAGGTGTGTCTCTGTTCCTGTCCCTGTCTCTGTCCCAGCTGTGTCTCTGTTCCTGTCCCCATTCCTGTCCCAGGTGTGTCCCTGTCCCTGGAGTGTCCCTGTCCCAGGTGTGTCCCTGTCCCTGTCCCAGGTGTGTCAGTCCCTGTCCCTGTCCCCATTCCTGTCCCAGGTGTGACCCCAACCCAGGATCCAACGGTGTCCCAGATCCAGCTGTGCCCTGGGATTGTCCCTGTGCCAGATGTGTCCCCACCCTTGTCCCTTCTTCCCGTCCCAGATGTGTCCCCATCCCTGCGCCAGATGTGTCTCCATCCTTGTCCCTGTCCCCATCCCGAGATCCATCCCTGTCCCTGTCCCAGGTGTGTTCCTGTCCCTGTCCCAGGTGTGTCCCCATCCCTGGTCCCTGTCCCCATCCCAGGAGTGTCCCCATCCCTGCGCCAGATGTGTCTCCATCCTTGTCCCTGTCCCCATCCCGAGATCCATCCCTGTCCCTGTCCCAGGTGTGTCCCTGTCCCTGTCCCAGGTGTGTTCCCGTCCCTGTCCCAGGTGTGTCCCCATCCCTGGTCCCTGTCCCCATCCTGGGATCCATCCCTGTCCCCTCTGTCCCTTGTCCCTGTCCCCTCTGTCCCTGTCCTGGGATCTCCCCATGTGCGGGATCAGCCTGGCCAGGGCTGTCCCTTGGTGTCCCCTGGGTGTCACAGGTGTCCCCCAGTGTCCCCTGGATGTCTCTTGGAGCCTTTTGGGTGTCTCTCAGTGTCCCTCGGTGTCCCCCATGGCCCTCGGTGTTCCCTGGATGTCCCTCAGTGTCCCCTGAATGTCCCTCGGGTGTCCCCTGGCTGTCCCTTAGGTGTCACACACGTCCCTTGGTGTCCCCTGCTTGTCACAGGTGTCCCCTCAGTGTCCTTGGTGTCCCTCAGTGTCCCCTGGTGTCCCCAAAGTGTCACAGGGACCCAGGATGTCCCCCAGGTGCAACAGGACCTGCAGGTGTCCCATTGTCCCCTGGCCTGTCCCCAGAGTCCCTGTGGGTCCCTGGGTGTCACCTTAGGCTGTCCCCAGCAGGTCACAGTGCCGTCGGTGCCACCTCGGTCTTGCTGTCAGTGCTGTCCCTGGTGTCCCCGGTGTCCCCAATGCATCACGGTGCCATCGGTGGCCCCTCGGGCTCGCTGTCCCTGGTGTCCCTGGTGTCCCCAATGTCCCCTGGGTGTCACAGTGCCGTCGGTGCCACCTCAGGCTGTCCCCGGTGTCCCCTGTGTGTCATGGTGCCACCGGTGCCACCTCAGGCTCACTGTCCCCGGTGTCCCCGGCGTCCCCTGTGTGTCACGGTGCCATCGGTGGCCCCTTGGGCTCGCTGTCACTGCTGTCCCCGGTGTCCCCGGTGTCCCCTGGGTGTCACGGTGCGGTTGGTGCCACCTCGGGCTCGCTGTCACTGCTGTCCCCGGCGTCCTCGGTGTCCCCTGGGGTCAGGGCGAAGGGCGGCGGTGGCAGCTGGGGCTGTCCCCAATGTCCCCTGGGTGTCACGGTGCCGTCGGTGCCACCTCAGGCTCGCTGTCACTGCTGTCCCCGGTGTCCCCAATGTCCCCTGGGTGTCACGGTGCCGTCGGTGCCACCTCAGGCTCGCTGTCGCTGCTGTCCCCGGTGTCCCCGGTGTCCCCCAGGGTCAGGGCGAAGGGCGGCGGTGGCAGCTGGGGCTGTCCCCAATGTCCCCTGTATGTCACGGTGCGGTTGGTGCCACCTCGGGCTCGCTGTCACTGCTGTCCCCGGTGTCCCCTGTATGTCACGGTGCTGTCAGTGCCACCTCGGGCTCGCTGTCACTGCTGTCCCCAATGTCCCCTGTGTGTCACGGTGCCGTCGGTGCCACCTCGGGCTCGCTGTCACTGCTGTCCCCGGTGTCCCCAGTGCCCCCTGGGTGTCACGGTGCGGTTGGTGCCACCTCGGGCTCGCTGTCGCTGCTGTCCCCGGTGTCCCCGGTGCCCCCTGGGTGTCACGGTGCCGTCGGTGCCACCTCAGGCTCGCTGTCGCTGCTGTCCCCGGTGTCCCCGGTGTCCCCCGGGGTCAGGGCGAAGGGCGGCGGTGGCAGCTGGGGCTGTCCCCAATGTCCCCTGGGTGTCACGGTGCTGTCAGTGCCACCTCGGGCTCGCTGTTGCTGCTGTCCCCAATGTCCCCAATGTCCCCTGTGTGTCACGGTGCGGTTGGTGCCACCTCGGGCTCACTGTCACTGCTGTCCCCGGTGTCCCCAATGTCCCCTGGGTGTCACGGTGCTGTCAGTGCCACCTCGGGCTCGCTGTCGCTGCTGTCCCCGGCGTCCCCAATGTCCCCTGTGTGTCACGGTGCCGTCGGTGCCACCTCAGGCTCGCTGTCACTGCTGTCCCCGGTGTCCCCAATGTCCCCTGGGTGTCACGGTGCCGTCGGTGCCACCTCGGGCTCGCTGTCACTGCTGTCCCCGGTGTCCCCAGTGCCCCCTGGGTGTCACGGTGCGGTTGGTGCCACCTCGGGCTCGCTGTCACTGCTGTCCCCGGTGTCCCCGGTGTCCCCTGGGTGTCACGGTGCGGTTGGTGCCACCTCGGGCTCGCTGTCACTGCTGTCCCCGGTGTCCCCGGTGTCCCCCGGGGTCAGGGCGAAGGGTGGCGGTGGCAGCTCCTCGTCCGAGGAGCCCAGCGAGTCCTCGTCCCCCAGGGGTGTCCCCAAGGCCACCGCGCCGAAGGACAGCGGCCCCCGCAGCAGCCGGATCTGGGACAGTGGGGACAGCAGGGGACAGGGGACAGTGGGGACAGGGACGGGACAGAGAGGGGACAGCAGGGACAAGGGATAGCAGGGGACAGGGACAGGGGACAGTGAGGGGACAGGGGACGGCAGGGACAAGGATTAGCAGGGGACAGCCAGGGGACAGCAGGGGAGACAGAGAGGGGACAGCAGGGGACAGGGGACAGTGGAGACAGAGGGGGGACAGGGGACAGTGGGGACAACAGGGGACAGCAGGGACAGGGACAGGGGATAGAGAGGGGACAGGGGATAGCAGGGGACAGGGACAGTGAGGGACAGGACAGGGGATAGAGAGGGGACGGTGAGGGACAGGGAGGGGACAGAAGGGACAGCCAGGGGACAGGGAGGAGAAAGAACAGGGGACAGCAGGGACAGGGACAGTGGGGACAGGGACAGGGGACAGCAGGGAACGCAGAGGGGACAAGAGGGACAGTCAGGGGACAGTGGGGACAGGAACAGGGGACAGAGAGGGGACAGCGACAGGGGACAACAGGGAACAGGAGACAGGGACATGGGTAGGGGACAGGGAGGGACAGGGGACAGAGAGAGGACAGGGATGGGGGACAGCAGGGGACAGAGGGAACAGCAGGGACAGGGACAGGGGACAGAGAGAGGACAGAGAGGGGAGGGGACAAGGGACAGGGAGCGGACAGCGAGGGGACAAGGACGGGAATGGGGATGGGGACAGGGACAGGAGGTGACAGGAAGGGACAGGACAGGGGACAGGAGGGGACAAAGGCCAACAGAGAAGGGCAGCAGGGAGGACACAGGGGGAACACGCTGTCACCAGTTGTCCCCAGGCCGTGTGGCACTGAGGGGACATGGGTGGTGGCACTGGCAATGCCACCAGTGGCACTGGGGCCAGACTGGGGGTCCCCAAGTACCTCTGGGTGCCACCTGGGTGTCCCCAACCCCTGTCACCTCCCCCAGCCCCCCTGGGTGCCACCTGGGTGTCCCCAACCCCTGTCACCTCCCCCAGCCCCCCTGGGTGCCACCTGGGTGTCCCCCCATGTCCTCTGTGTCCCCCTGGTGCCTCCCAATGTGCCCAGTGCCCTGATGTCCCCAATGTCCCCTGTGTCCCCAGTGTCTCCAATGCCTCCAGTGTCCCCAGTGATGTCCCCAACCTCCCCAACATCCCAGATGTCCCCAATGTCCCCACTGGTGTCCCCAGTGTCCCACCTCGGCCTCGAGCAGCTGGATGTGGCCCTGCAGGTGCCGGATGTACTGCGCCCCCCGTGTCCCCAATGTCCCCAATGTCCCCGATGTCCCCAACATCCCAGATGTCCCCAGTGATGTCCCCAATGTCCCCAGATGTCCCCAAATGTCCCCAACGTCCCACCTCGGCCTTGAGCTGCCGGATGTGGCCCTGCAGGTGCCGGATGTACTGCGCCGTGTCCGTGTGCTCCAGCTGCCCCTGCAGCCGCCCCTCCTCACGCTGGGGACATTAAAGGGACACCGAGGGGACACTGAGGGGACATTGAGGGGACACCGCGGCCACCTGGCCCCTCCTGCGTCCCCCATGTCCTCTCCATATCCCCACGTCCTTCATGTCCACCACGTCCCCGTGTCCCCCTGTCTCCTCCATGCCCCCCAACCCCTCCATGTCCCCCAAGTCCCCTTGTCCCCTCCGTGTCCCCCCATGTCCCCACATCCCCGTGTCCCCTATCCCCTCCATGTCCCTCATGTCTCCTTAATATCCCCAATGTCCCCCAGGTCCCACTCATGTCCCCATGTCCCTGAGGTCCCAAGTGTCCCCAAGGTTCCCCATCCCCTCCATGTCCCCATGTCCCCCCCATATCCCCTCCATGTTCCCATGTCCCCCCCATATCCCCTCCATGTCCCCGTGTCCCCCCCATATCCCCTCCATGTTCCCATGTCCCCCCCATATCCCCTCCATGTCCCCGTGTCCCCCCCATATCCCCTCCATGTTCCCATGTCCCCCCCATATCCCCTCCATGTCCCCGTGTCCCCCCCATGTCCCCTCCATGTTCCCGTGTCCCCCCCATGTCCCTGATACCCCCATGTCCTTCCTCCACTCCATGTCCTCCATGTCCCCAGTGTCCCCGATGTCCCCATTTCCCCCTTTATCCCCATGTCCGCCTGATGTCGCCCACAATCCCCTCCATGTCCCCAATGTCCCCCATGTCCCCCTGATGTCCCTGATGTCCCCCATGTCCCAATGTCCCCAGTATCCCCCATCCCCTTCATGTCTCTGATGTCCCCAATGTCCCCAATGTCCCTGATGTCCCCAGTGTCGCCGATGTTCGCAATGTCCCCAACGTCCCAACGTCTGCATTGTCCCCGCTGTCCCCAACGTCCCCTGATGTTCCCGTGTCCCCCCAGTGTCTCCAATGTCCCCATGTCCCCACATCCCCCCATGTCCCCATTGTCTCCAGTGTCCCCAGTGTCCCCCCGATGTCCCCTCAGTGTCCCCGTACCTGGATCTCCAGCTCGGCCACGCGCTGCCTCATCTCGGCCAGGGCGGCCATGCTGTCGGCCTCACGCAGCCGCACGGCCATCACCTCCTCCTTGCTCTGGGGACAGCGTGGGGACACCATGGGGACACCATGGGGACAGCCCAGGGACACCCGGGGACAGCCCTGCCACCGTGGGGAGGCCATCACCTCCTCCTTGCTCTGGGGACAGCGTGGGGACACCATGGGGACACCCACAGGGACACCCGGGGACACCCGGGGACAGCCCTGCCACCGTGGGGAGGCCATCACCTCCTCCTTGCTCTGGGGACAGCGTGGGGACACCATGGGGACACCATGGGGACAGCCCAGGGACACCCGGGGACAGCCCTGCCACCGTGGGGAGGCCATCACCTCCTCCTTGCTCTGGGGACAGCGTGGGGACACCATGGGGACACCCGGGGACACCCCAGGGACACCCGGGGACAGCCCTGCCACCGTGGGGAGGCCATCACCTCCTCCTTGCTCTGGGGACAGCGTGGGGACACCATGGGGACACCCCAGGGACACCCAGGGACACCTGGGGACACCCCAGGGACACCCAGGGACATCACAGGGACACCCGGGGACAGCCCTGCCACCGTGGGGAGGCCATCACCTCCTCCTTGCTCTGGGGACAGCGCTGTCACCACAGGGACAGCCCTGCCACCCCCAGGGACACTGCAGGGACACCCCAGGGACAGCCTCGTCACCACAGGGACACCCCGGGGACACCGTGGGGACACTCAGGGACAGCCCTAGGACAGCCCTGCCACTGGGGACACCCCAGGGACACCATGGGGACACCATGGGGACACCCAGGGACAGCCCTGGGACAGCTCTGCCACCGTGGGGACACCCCCAGGGACACCATGGGGACATATCCAGGACACCCCTGAGACAGCCCTGCCACCCCCAGGGACACCGTGGGGACACTCAGGGACAGCCCTAGGACAGCCCCGCCACTGGGGACACCCCCAGGGACACCGTGGGGACACACCCAGGACATCCCAGGGACAGCCCTGCCACCACTCAGGACACCACAACGACACCCAGGGACACCCCAGGGACATTCGGGGACACTCAGGGACAGTGGGGACATCCCCGTGCGCATCCCAAAGGTCCCCAAGAGTCCCCAGTGTCCCAAACACTCCCAATGTCCCCAATATGCCTGATGTCCCCGGTGCCCCTGCTGTCCCCAGTGTCCCCAACAGCCCCGATGTCCCCGATGATGTTCCCAATGTCCTGAATATCCCCCAATGTCCCCAAGTGTCCCTGATGTCCCAATATCCCCAATGTCCCCAATGTCCCAAATGTCCCCAGTGATGTCCCCAATGCTCTCAATATCCCCAGTGTCCGAATGTCCCCGATGATGTCCCCAATGTCCCTAAATGTCCCCAATGCCCCCCCGTGTTCCCAAGTGTCCCTGATGTCCCCAATGTCCCCTTTGCTGTCCCCACCTTGCACTGCGCCTCAGCGTGTTTGCGGTGTACCCAATGTCCCCAATGATGTCCCCATTGCTGTCTCCATTGTCCCCAATGTCCCCATCGCTGTCCCCAATGATGTCCCAAATGTCCCCAATGATGTCCCCATTGCTGTCTCCATTGTCCCCAATGTCCCCATCGCTGTCCCCAATGATGTCCCAAATGTCCCCAATGATGTCCCCATTGCTGTCCCCATTGTCCCCACTGTCCCCGTTGCTGTCCCCATTGCTGTCTCCACCTTGCACTGTGCCTCAGCGTGTTTCTGGTGTCCCCAATGTCCCCAGTGATGTCCCCAATGTCCCCACCTTGCACTGTGCCTCGGCATGTTTCCGGTGTCCCCAATGTTCCCATTGTCCCCACTGCTGGCCCCATTGTCCCCAATGATGTCCCCAATGTCCCCATTGTCCCCACCTTGCACCGCGCCTTGGTGTGTTTGTGGTGTCCCCAGTGTCCCCAGTGTCCCCAATGTCCCCACGTTGCACTGTGCCTTGGCATGTTTCCGGTGTCCCCAATGTCCCCAATGTCCCCAGTGTCCCCATTGCTGTCCCCAGTGTCCCCAATCATTGTCCCCACCTTGCACTGCGCCCCAGCGTGTTTGCGGTGTCCCCAATGATGTCCCCAGTGTCCCCAGTGTCCCCATTGCTGTCCCCATTGTCCCCAGAGCTGTCCCCACCTTGCACTGCGCCTCGGCATGTTTGCAGTGTCCCCACTGTCCCCAATGTCTCCAATGTCCCCAGTGCTGTCCCCACTGTCCCCAGTGTCCCCAATGCTGTCCCCACCTTGCACTGCGCCTTGGCGTGTTTGCGGTGTCCCCAGTGTCCCCAGTGTCCCCAGTGTCCCCAGTGCTGTCCCCACCTTGCACTGCGCCTCGGCGTGTTTGCGGTGTCCCCACTGTCCCCAGTGTCCCCAGTGTCCCCAGTGCTGTCCCCACCTTGCACTGCGCCTCGGCGTGTTTGCGGTGTACCCAATGATGTCCCCACTGTCCCCAGTGTCCCCAGTGTCCCCAGTGCTGTCCCCACCTTGCACTGTGCCTCGGCGTGTTTGCGGTGTACCCAATGATGTCCCCAGTGTCCCCATTGCTGTCCCCAGTGTCCCCAATGTCCCCAGTGCTGTCCCCACCTTGCACTGCGCCTCGGCGTGTTTGGGGTGTACCCAATGATGTCCCCAGTGTCCCCATTGCTGTCCCCAGTGTCCCCAGTGTCCCCAGTGCTGTCCCCACCTTGCACTGTGCCTCGGCGTGTTTGCAGTGTCCCCACTGTCCCCAGTGTCCCCACTGTCCCCAGTGTCCCCAGTGTCCCCAGTGTCCCCAGTGCTGTCCCCACCTTGCACTGCGCCTCGGCGTGTTTGCAGTGTCCCCACTGTCCCCAGTGTCCCCAGTGTCCCCAGTGTCCCCAGTGCTGTCCCCACCTTGCACTGCGCCTCGGCGTGTTTGCGGTGGCTCTCGCTCAGCTGCGCCTGCAGCCCCTGGCTCTGGGCGGCCGCGGCGCGGAGCTGCTCCCGCAGCCCGGCACAGGCCTGCTCGGCACGGCCCAGCACCGACCGCTGGATCCGGCCCTAAACCGGGATAAACCTGGGATTAACTCGGGATAAACCTGCGATTAACCGGGATAAACCTGGGATTAACCGGGATAAACCCAGACAAACCCAGATACACCCGGCACCAACCCAGCCCTGCTCCCGCAGCCCGGCACAGGCCTGCTCGGCACGGCCCAGCACCGACCGCTGGATCCGGCCCTAAACCGGGATAAACCTGGGATTAACTCGGGATAAACCTGGGATTAACCGGGATAAACCCAGACAAACCCAGATACACCCGGCACCAACCCAGCCCTGCTCCCGCAGCCCGGCACAGGCCTGCTCGGCACGGCCCAGCACCGACCGCTGGATCCGGCCCTGAAACACAGAACAACCCGGGATTGAACCGGGATAGACCGGGGATAAACCGGGATAGACCTGGCACCAACCCAGCCCCGCTCCCTGCTTGGCACGGCCCAGCACCGGCTGCTGGATCCGCCCCTAAATGGGGATAAACCTGGGATTAACCCGGGATAAACCTGGGATAGACCTGGGATAGACCCAGGATTAATTTGGGATTAACCAGGACAAACCCGGGATTAAACCAGATAAAGCTGGGATGAATCCGTCAAAATCCTGGGATAAACACAAAATTAATCTGGGATAAACCTGGGATAAACCCTGGTCCCTGCTCTCCCAGTGCTCCCAGTTCAGTTCCCAGCATTCCCAGTCCCTCCCAGTATCTCACCTGTGTCTCACCTGTGTCTCACCTGTGTCTCCAGGTGCATCACGCGCTGTCTCAGCGCCCTCAGCCCCATTCCCAGTTCGTCCCAGTCCATCCCAGTTTGTCCCGGTCCCTCACCTGGTGCATCACTCACTGTCCCAGTCCATCCCAGTCCATCCCAGTGCTCCCAGTTTGGTCCCTGTGTCTCACCTGTGTCTCCAGGTGCAGCACCCGCTGTCCCAGTTTGGTCCCTGTGTCTCACCTGTGTCTCCAGGTGCAGCACCCGCTGTCCCAGTTTGGTCCCTGTGTCTCACCTGTGTCTCCAGGTGCAGCACCCGCTGTCCCAGTTTGGTCCCTGTGTCTCACCTGTGTCTCCAGGTGCAGCACCCGCTGTCCCAGTTTGGTCCCTGTGTCTCACCTGTGTCTCCAGGTGCAGCACCCGCTGTCCCAGTTTGGTCCCTGTGTCTCACCTGTGTCTCCAGGTGCAGCACCCTCTGTCTCAGCGCCCGCAGCTCCGCCTGGGCCTGGCTCTCGCGGAGCTGCACCCCCAGCACGGCCTCGTGCAGCGCCCGCGGCTCCTGCCAGCGGCCCCCGCACACCTGGGGGACAGGGACACACCTGGTCAGGTGTGGGGACACCTGGGGACACCTGGGGACACACCTGGTCAGGTGTGGGGACACCTGGGGACACCAGGGGACCCACCCTGGGGACACCTGGCCAGGCCTCGTGCAGCGCCCGCGGCTCCTGCCAGCGGCCCCCGCACACCTGGGGGACAGGGACACACCTGGTCAGGTATGGGGACACCTGGGGACACACCTGGTCAGGTGTGGGGACACCTGGGGACACACCTGGTCAGCTATGGGGACACCCAGCCAGGTATAGGTGCACCTGGGGACACCTGGGGACACCTGGGGACACCTGGGGACCCACCCTGGGACACCTGGCCAGGCCTCCTGCAGTGCCTGCGGCTCCTGTCAGCGGCCCCCGCACACCTGGAGGGGACAGGGACACACCTGGTCAGGTGTGGGGACACCTAGGGACACCTAGGGACCCACCCTGGGGACACCTGGGACACCTAGGGGACACCCTGGGACACACCAGGTCAGCTATGGGGACACCTGGGACGCCCGGGGACACCCTGGGACACACCTGGTCAGGTATGGGGACACCTGGGACGCCCGGGGACACCTAGGGGACACCCTGGGACACACCAGGTCAGGTATGGGGACACCTGGGACGCCCGGGGACACCCTGGGACACACCTGGTCAGGTATGGGGACACCTGGGACGCCCGGGGACACCTAGGGGACACCCTGGGACACACCTGGTCAGGTATGGGGACACCTGGGGACACCTAGGGGACACCCTGGGACACACCTGGTCAGGTATGGGGACACCTGGCCAGGTATAGGGGCACCTGGGGACACCTGGGGACCCACCCTGAGGACACCTGGCCAGGAATGGGGACACCTGGGACAGCTGGGGACCGCTGGGGACACCCTGGGACACACCTGGCCAGGTATGGGGACATCTGGGGACACACTTAGTCACAGCTGGGGACACACCTGGTCAGCTATGGGGACAGCCAAGGACAGCTGGGGACACCTGGGGACCCACCCTGGGGACACCTGGTCAGCTATGGGGACACTTGGGAAACACCTGGTCTGGTGTGGGGACACCTGGTCAGATGACACACGCCTTAGGGACACCTGGGGGACACTTGGGACACACCTGGGGACACTTGGTCAGGTATGGGGGCACCTGGGGACTCACCTGGGGACAGACAGGGACAGCTGGGACACCTGCCAGGTGTCCCTAATGTCCCCATGTCTCACCTGCCAGGTGCCCCCAATGTCCCCAATGTCCCCAGCAGCCCTGTGTCTCACCTGCCAGGTGTCCCCGATGTCCCCAGTGTCACTCAGGTGTCCCCGATGTCCCTGATGTCCCCATGTCTCTGTCTCACCTGCCAGGTGTCCCCAATGTCACTCAGGTGTCCCTGATGTCCCCAGTGTCACTCAGGTGTCCCCACTGTCCCAGTGCCTCACCTGCCAGGTGTCCCTGATGTCCCCCATGTCCCCGATGTCCCCAGTGTCCCTCAGGTGTCCCTGTCTCACCTGCCAGGTGTCCCCGATGTCCCCGTGTCCCCATCTCACCTGCCAGGTGTCCCCAATGTCCCCAATGTCCCCATGTCCCTGTCTCACCTGCCAGGTGTCCCCGATGTCCCTGATGTCCCCGATGTCCCCATCTCACCTGCCAGCTGTCCCCAATATCCCTCAGGTGTCCCTGTCTCACCTGCCAGCTGTCCCTGATGTCCCCGTGTCCCCATGTCTCACCTGCCAGGTGTCCCCAATGTCCCCGTGTCCCCGATGTCCCCATGTCTCACCTGCCAGGTGTCCCCGTGTCCCCGATGTCCCCATGTCTCACCTGCCAGGTGTCCCCGATGTCCCCGTGTCCCCATGTCTCACCTGCCAGGTGTCCCCGATGTCCCCGAGTCCCTGTGTCTCACCTGCCAGGTGTCCCCAATGTCCCCGTGTCCCCGATGTCCCCATGTCTCACCTGCCAGGTGTCCCCGATGTCCCTGTGTCCCCATGTCTCACCTGCCAGGTGTCCCCGATGTCCCCGAGTCCCTGTGTCTCACCTGCCAGGTGTCCCCAATGTCCCCGTGTCCCCGATGTCCCCATGTCTCACCTGCCAGGTGTCCCCGATGTCCCCGAGTCCCTGTGTCTCACCTGCCAGGTGTCCCCGATGTCCCCGTGTCCCCATGTCTCACCTGCCAGGTGTCCCCAATGTCCCCGTGTCCCCGATGTCCCCATGTCTCACCTGCCAGGTGTCCCCGATGTCCCCGATGTCCCCATGTCTCACCTGCCAGGTGTCCCCGATGTCCCCGTGTCCCCATGTCTCACCTGCCAGGTGTCCCCGTGTCCCCGATGTCCCCATGTCTCACCTGCCAGGTGTCCCCGATGTCCCCGAGTCCCCGATGTCCCCATGTCTCACCTGCCAGGTGTCCCCGATGTCCCTGTGTCCCCGATGTCCCCATGTCTCACCTGCCAGGTGTCCCCGATGTCCCCGATGTCCCTCAGCGCCAGCTCCTGCAGCTCCTCCTGAAGCCGAACCACGCTGGAGTCATCCGGGAGCAGCGGCTGCCGCTGGGGACAGGGACAGGGACATCAGGGACAGCAGGGACAGGGACAGGGACAGGGACATCAGGGACAGGGACAGGGACATCAGGGACAGGGACATCAGGGACAGGGACAGGGACAGAGGGGACAGGGACAGGGACATCAGGGACAGGGACATCAGGGACAGCAGGGACACAGGAACAGGGACAGAGGGGACAGGGACAGGGACAGGGACATCAGGGACAGGGACAGGGACATCAGGGACAGGGACATCAGGGACAGCAGGGACAGCAGGGACACAGGGGACAGGGACAGGGACAGGGACATCAGGGACAGCAGGGACACAGGGGACAGGGACAGAGGGGACAGGGACAGGGACATCAGGGACAGGGACAGGGACATCAGGGACAGGGACATCAGGGACAGCAGGGACACAGGAACAGGGACAGAGGGGACAGGGACAGGGACATCAGGGACAGCAGGGACACAGGGGACAGGGACATCAGGGACAGGGACATCAGGGACAGGGACAGGGACATCAGGGACAGCAGGGACACAGGGGACAGGGACAGAGGACAGCAGGGACAGGGGCAGAGGGACAGAGGGACAGAGGGGACAAAGGGGACAGGGACAGCAGGGACATCAGGGACAGGGGGACAGGGACAGAGGGACATCAGGGGGCACAGAGGGGACAAGGGACAGGGACAGCAGGGACAGAGGGACACAGGGGACAGCAGGGACAGAGACATCAGGGGACAAGGGACATTGGGGACAGGGGACACAGGGGAGAGGGACATCATGGACAGAGGGACAGCAGGGACAGCGGGGACAGGGACAGCAGGGACAGGGACACAGGGGACACAGCAGGGACAGGGACAGAGGGGACAGCAGGGACAGGAACACAGGAACAGGGATAGAGGGACAGGGACAGAGGGGACAAGGGACATCAGGGGACACAGGGGACAAGGACAAGGGCATCAGGGGGACATCAGGGACAGCAGGAGACACAGGACAGGGATATCAGGAGGGACAGCAGGGGACACAGGGACATTGACGGGGCATGGGGACATCAGTGGGGACAGGGACATCGGTGGGGACAGGGACATCGGTGGGGACACACGAGGACAGCAGTGGGGACAGACAGAGGGACCTTCACAGGCCACCTGTGACAGCTCCTGTCCCCAGGGCCACCCACGGCACCCTCCCTGTCCCCAAGGCCACCCACAGGACCCTCCCTGTCCCCAAGGCCCCTCTCTGTCCCCAAGGCCACCCGATTGTCCCCTCGGTGTCACCTTCTCCATGTCCAGGACCATGTCCTGCATCTCCTGGAACCCTCCCTGTCCCCAAGGTCCCTCTGTGTCCCCATGGCCACTCCTTGTCCCCAGAGCCACACATGGGACCCTCCCTGTCCTTGGTGCCACCCTGGTGTCCCCCTAGTGTCACCTTCTCCATGTCCAGAGCCTTGTCCTGCATCTCCTTGAGGGCCCCTTGTCCCCAGGGTCCCTCCCTGTCCCCAGTGTCCCCTCGGTGTCCCCCTGGTGTCACCTTCTCCATGTCCAGGACCTTGTCCTGCATCTCCTTGAACCCTCCCTGTCCCCAGGGTCCCTCCCTGTCCCCATTGTCACCCCAGCGTCCCCCCGTTGTCCCCTCGGTGTCACCTTCTCCATGTCCAGGACCTTGTCCTGCATGTCCCTGAGGGCCCCTTGTCCCCAAGGCCCCTCCCTGTCCCCGCTGTCACCCTGTTGTCCCCGTGTCACCTTCTCCATGTCCAGGACCTTGTCCTGCATGTCCCTGAGGGCCCCTTGTCCCCAAGGCCCCTCCCTGTCCCCGCTGTCACCCTGTTGTCCCCATGTCACCTTCTCCATGTCCAGGACCTTGTCCTGCATCTCCTTGAGGGCTCCCAGGGTTTCGCTCTCGCGCAGCCGCGACCGCTCCAGCTCCGTCTCCAGGTGCGCCACGAACTCCTCGCTCAGCCGGGGGTTACCCTGTGTGACAAATGTCACCAATGTCACCAATGTCACCAATGTCACCAATGTCACCTCCCAACCACCACGAACTCCTCGCTCAGCCGGGGGTTACCCTGTGTCACCAGTGTCACCAAATGTCCCCAAATGTCACCAGTGTCACCAATGTCACCTCCCCATTGTCCCCAACCTGCCACGAACTCCTCGCTCAGCCGGGGGTTACCCTGTGTGACCAATGTCCCCAAATGTCCCCAATGTCACCAAAGGTCACCTCCCAACCACCACGAACTCCTCGCTCAGACGGGGGTTACCCTGTGTCACCAGTGTCACCAAATGTCCCCAAATGTCCCCAAATGTCACCTCAACATTGTCCCCAACCTGCCACGAACTCCTCGCTCAGCCGGGGGTTACCCTGTCACCAATGTCCCCAAATGTCCCCAAACGTCACCAGTGTCCCCAACCTGCCACGAACTCCTCGCTCAGGCTGGGGTTGCCCTGTGTGACAAATGTCCCCAAATGTCACCTCAACATTGTCCCCAACCTGCCACGAACTCCTCGCTCAGCCGGGGGTTACCCTGTGTGACAAATGTCCCCAAATGTCCCCAAATGTCACCAGTGTCCCCAACCTGCCATGAACTCCTCACTCAGCCGGGGGTTACCCTGTCACCAATGTCACCAAATGTCACCTCAACATTGTCCCCAACCTGCCATGAACTCCTTGCTCAGGCTGGGGTTACTCTGTGTGACAAATGTCTCCAAATGTCCCCAATGTCACCTCCCCATTGTCCCCAACCTGCCACGAACTCCTCGCTCAGGCTGGGGTTGCCCTGTGTCACCAATGTCACCAAATGTCACCAAATGTCCCCAAATGTCACCTTCTAACCACCACGAACTCCTCGCTCAGGCTGGGGTTACCCTGTGTGACAAATGTCCCCAAATGTCACCTCAACATTGTCCCCAACCTGCCACGAACTCCTCGCTCAGCCGGGGGTTACCCTGTGTCACCAATGTCCCCAAATGTCCCCAAACGTCACCAGTGTCCCCAACCTGCCACGAACTCCTCACTCAGCCGGGGGTTACCCTGTCACCAATGTCACCAAATGTCCCCAAACGTCACCAGTGTCCCCAACCTGCCACGAACTCCTCACTCAGCCGGGGGTTACCCTGTCACCAATGTCACCAAATGTCCCCAAACGTCACCAGTGTCCCCAACCTGCCACGAACTCCTCACTCAGCCGGGGGTTACCCTGTCACCAATGTCACTAATGTCACCTCAACATTGTCCCCAACCTGCCATGAACTCCTTGCTCAGGCTGGGGTTACCCTGTGTGACAAATGTCCCCAAATGTCCCCAATGTCACCTCCCCATTGTCCCCAACCTGCCACGAACTCCTCGCTCAGGCTGGGGTTGCCCTGTGTGACAAATGTCCCCAAATGTCACCTCAACATTGTCCCCAACCTGCCACGAACTCCTCGCTCAGCTGGGGGTTACCCTGTGTCACCAATGTCCCCAAATGTCCCCAATGTCACCAGTGTCACCTCCCCAATGTCCACCACGAACTCCTCGCTCAGCCGGGGGTTACCCTGTGTCACCACTGTCCCCAAATGCCCCCAAATGTCACCTCACCATCGTCCCCCCTCAGCCACGAACTCCTCGCTCAGCCGGGGGTTACCCTGTGTGACAAATGTCCCCAAATGTCTCCAAATGTCCCCAGTGTCACCTCCCAACCACCACGAACTCCTCGCTCAGGTGGGGCTTACCCTGTGTCACCAATGTCACCAAATGTCACCAAATATCATCAATGTCACCAATGTCACCAAAGGCAACCAAAGGTCACCTCCCACCTGCCATGAGCTGCTCCAAGAGATGGGGGTTACCCCGTCCCCAAATGTCCCCAATGTCACCAAGTGTCACCTCCCACCTGCCAAGAAATCCTCGTTCATGCAGGAGTTACCTGTGCCACCAAATGCCACCAAATGTCACCAAATGTCACCTGCAGTGCTGTCACTGGGGCAGCGACACACAGAGGTGACACACAGGTGATACAGGTGACAATGACACAATGACACACAGGCGACAGTGACACACACAGCGCCACACACAGGTGACACAGAGGTGACACTCAGGTGACAGCGACACACAGGTGATAGTGACACACACAGTGCCACACAGTGACACAGTGACACAGAATGACACAGTGACACACAGTGACACACAGTGACACACACACACAGGTGACAGTGACACACACACACAGGTGACAGTGACACACAGGTGACAGTGACACACCTGCAGCTCCCGGATGGTGCTCTGAGCCCTCCTGAGGCTCTCGGTGGCCGAGCTGCAGCGCTGGCACCGGGACAGTGACACAGTGACACGCAGTGACACGCAGTGACACACAGTGACACACAGTGACACGCAGTTACACACACAGTGACACACAGGGAATACAATGACACACACAGTGACACACAGGTGACAGTGACACACACAGGTGACACAGGTGACACACCTGTAACTCTCGAATCGTGCTCTGTGCCCGTCTCAGGCTCTCGGTGGCCGAGCTGCAGCGCTGCCTCACCAGCGCAGTGACACAGTGACACACAGTGACACACAGTGACACACACAGTGACACGCAGTGACACGCGGTGACACACACAGTGACACAAACAGGTGACACAGGTGACACACCTGTAACTCTCGAATGGTGCTCTGTGCTCTCCTCAGGCTCTCGGTGGCCGAGCTGCAGCGCTGCCTCACCAGCGCAGTGACACAGTGACACACAGTGACACACAGTGACACACAGTGACACACAGGGGATACAATGACACATACAGTGACACACAGGTGACAGTGACACACAGGTGACAATGACACACCTGTAACTCTCGAATCGTGCTCTGTGCTCGTCTCAGGCTCTCGGTGGCCGAGCTGCAGCGCTGCCTCACCAGCGCCAGCTCGCGCCGGATGACGTCGTTCTCCTCGGCCTCCTGCGCCCGCGTCACCTGGCCCTGGGGACAGAGGGGACAATGGGGACAGTGGGGACAATGGGGACAGTGTCACCTGGCCCTGGGGACAGAGGGGACAATGGGGACAGTGGGGACAATGGGGACAGTGTCACCTGGCCCTGGGGACAGAGGGGACAATGGGGACAGCAGGGACAGTGTCACCTGGCCCTGGGGACAGAGGGGACAATGGGGACAGTGGGGACAGTGTCACCTGGCCCTGGGGACAGAGGGGACAATGGGGACAATGGGGACAGTGTCACCTGGCCCTGGGGACAGAGGGGACAATGGGGACAGTGGGGACAATGGGGACAGTGTCACCTGGCCCTGGGGACAGAGGGGACAATGGGGACAATGGGGACAGTGTCACCTGGCCCTGGGGACAGAGGGGACAATGGGGACAGTGGGGACAGTGTCACCTGGCCCTGGGGACAGAGGGGACAATGGGGACAATGGGGACAGTGTCACCTGGCCCTGGGGACAGAGGGGACAATGGGGACAATGGGGACAATGGGGACAGTGTCACCTGGCCCTGGGGACAGAGGGGACAATGGGGACAGTGGGGACAATGGGGACAGTGTCACCTGGCCCTGGGGACAGAGGGGACAATGGGGACATTGGGGACAGTGTCACCTGGCCCTGGGGACAGAGGGGACAGTGGGGACAGTGGGGACATTGGGGACAGTGTCACCTGGCCCTGGGGACAGAAGGGACAATGGGGACAGTGGGGACAATGGGGACAGTGTCACCTGGCCCTGGGGACAGAGGGGACAGTGGGGACAGTGGGGACAGTGTCACCTGGCCCTGGGGACAGAGGGGACAATGGGGACAATGGGGACAGTGGGGACAGTGTCACCTGGCCCTGGGGACAGAGGGGACAGTGGGGACAGTGTCACCTGGCCCTGGGGACAGAGGGGACAATAGGGACACTGGGGACAGTGTCACCTGGCCCTGGGGACAGAGGGGACAGTGGGGACATTGGGGACAGTGTCACCTGGCCCTGGGGACAGAGGGGACAATGGGGACAATGGGGACAGTGTCACCTGGCCCTGGGGACAGAGGGGACAGTGGGGACAATGGGGACAATGGGGACAGTGTCACCTGGCCCTGGGGACAGAGGGGACACCTTGGGGACACCTTGGGGACACTGGGGACAGTGTCACCTGGCCCTGGGGATACAGGGGACACCTTGGGGACATTGGGGACACTGGGGACAGTGGGGACACCGTGGGGATACTGACACCTCCTGTGCCTGCGTCACCTGGCCCTGGGGACAATGGGGATATTGGGGACATCTCCAGGGCCATTTGTCCCCTGCCCCACCCCAAATTCCACCCAAACTCCTCTAATCGCCGCTTTCCACCCCAAATCCCAAAATCACCCAAAATTCACCAAAATCTCACCAAAATTCCTCAAAATTTACGAAAATCCCACCAAAAATTCCCCAAATTGCCCCAAAATTTCCCCAAAATTTGAAATTCCCCCCAATCCCTCAATCTCCCAAAATTTCCCCCGAATTCATCAGAATTCCCCCAAAATTCCCCCAAATTACCCTAAAATTAAAAAAAAATCCCCCAAAATCCTCCAAATCCCCCAGATTTTCCTAAAATTCCATCAAAATTTCCCCAAATACCCCAAAATTTGAAATTCCCCCTGAATTTACCAGAATCCCCCCAAAATTCCTCAAAATTTCCCCCAAATTCCCCCTAAAATTTCATCAAAATCCCCAATATTCCCCCCAAAATTCCTCAAAATCTCCCCAAATTCCCCCAATCCCCTAAATTTCCCCCAAATTCCATCAAAATTCCCCCAAATTCCCCCCAGGATGCGCAGGAGCCTCCAGAGAAGCAGAAAAAAAGGTGGAAAAAAAAGGCAGAAAAAAGGAAAATCCCCCCAAAAGTGGGGCTGGGGGAGGGGAGGGAGGAAAATGGGGAAAATTGAGGAAAATAAATCAGGGAAAATCAGTCAGGAAAATTGGGGGAAAAAACTGGGAAAATCAGGGAAATTGGGGAAATAAGTTGGGAAAATAAATTAGGAAAATCAGAGAGGAAAACTGGGAAAATAAATTGGGAAAATCAGGAAAATAAATCTGGTAAATAAATTGGGGAAATCAGAAAAATATCGGAAAAAATATTGGGAAAATTGGGGAAATCAGTTGGGAAAATTGGGGAAGAAAATTGGTGAAATAAATCAGGAAAATAAATCAGGGAAATTGGGAAGAAAATCGGGAAAACTGGGGGAAGAATCAGGAAAATCGGGAAAAAATTTTGGGAAAATCAGGGAAAAAATCAGAAATTCAGGAAAACAAATTGGGAAAAAGTTGGGAAAATTGGGCGAAAAGATCGGGAAAATAAATTGGGGAAAATCTCAGGAAAATTAGGGGGAAAAATTGGGGAAAAATAGGGAAAATCAGGGAAATTGGGGGGAAAATAAATCAGGAAAATTGGGGAGGAAATTCAGGAAAATATGGGGGAAAATATCGGGGAAATTCATCAGGAAAATTGGAGAAATAAATTGGGAAAATTGAGGGAAAAAATCAGGAAAATAAATCGTGAAAATACAGGGAAAATCAGGGGGAAAATTGGGGGGAAAAAATTGGGGAAAAATTGGGGGAAAAAGTTGGGGAAATCGGGGAAAAATAGGGAAAATAAATCACGAAAATAAATCAGGAAAATCAGGAAAAAGCAGCATAATCAATTGGGAAAATCAGGGAAAAAATCAGGGAAATCGGGAAAATCAATTAGGAAAATGGAGAATATATCAGGAAAATATTGGGATTATTGGGGAAATATCAGGAAAATATTTGGATTATTGGGGAAATATTGGGAAAATATCAGGAGAATATCAGGAAAATATTGGGAATATATTGGGAAAATATTGGGAAAATACTGGGATTATTGGGAAAATATTGGGATTATCAAGAAAATATTTGGAATATTGGGAAAATAGGGAAGATATTGGGGAACATATTGGAAAAATATTGGGATTATTGGGAAAATATTGGGAATATCGGGAAAATATCAGGGAAATATGGTGGAAATAAATCAGGAAAATTGAGGGAATTGGGAAAATCGGGGAAATAAATTGGGGGGGAAAAATCGGGGAAATTGGGGGAAACAAATTGGGAAAATCAACTGGGAAAATGGGGAAAATCAATCGGGGAAATGGGGGAAATATCGGGAAAATGAGGGAAATAAATTGAGGGGAAAAAAATCAGTAAAATCGAGGAAATTGGGGGGGAAAAACGGGAAAATCAACCAGGAAAATGGGGGAAACGTCGGGGAAACGTCGCGTTTCTGTCGGGCAAACGGGGAATGTCGGGATTATCGCGACAGGCGGGCGGTACCTGGATCAGGCGATCGGCCAGGGCCGCGCTCTCCTGGGGAGGGGACACAGAGAGACGGTCAGGGACAGGGACAGGGACAGGGACACAGGGACAGCGACAGGGACAGGGACAGGGACACAGTGACAGGTACAGAGACAGGGACAGGGACAGGGACACAGGGACAGGCACAGAGACAGGGACAGGGACAGGGACAGGGACACAGGGACAGCGACAGGGACAAGGACAGGGACAGGGACAGGGACAGGGACACAGGGACAGCGACAGGGACAGGGACAGGGACAGGGACAGGGACACAGGGACAGCGACAGGGACAAGGACAGGGACACAGGGACAAGGACAGGGACACAGGGACAGGCACAGAGACAGGGACAGGGACAGGGACAGGGACAGGGACACAGGGACAGTGACAGGGACAAGGACAGGGACAGGGACACAGGGACAGGCACAGAGACAGGGACAGGGACAGGGACAGCGACAGGGACAAGGACAGGGACACAGTGACAGGCACAGAGACAGCGACAGGGACAAGGACAGGGACACAGTGACAGGCACAGAGACAGGGACAGGGACAGGGACAGGGACAGGGACACAGTGACAGGTACAGAGACAGGGACAGCGACAGGGACAGGGACAGGGACACATGACAGGTACAGAGACAGGGACAGGGACAGTGGGAGGGACAGAGCTGGGTCAGGACAGCAGCGACAGCGGCAGAGGCAGAGCGAGCCAGGAGAGGACAGTGACAGCGACAGATCAGTGACAGTGACAGAGCCAGATCGGTGACAGTGACAGCAGTGACAGTGACAGTGACAGCGGTGACAGTGACAGAGCCAGATCGGTGACAGTGACAGCGGCGACAGTGACAGTGACAGTGACAGAGCCAGATCGGTGACAGTGACAGCGGCGACAGTGACAGCGGTGACAGTGACAGAGACAGATCGGTGACAGTGACAGCGGTGACAGTGACAGTGACAGCGGTGACAGTGACAGCGGTGACAGTGACAGAGCCAGATCGGTGACAGTGACAGCGGTGACAGTGACAGCGGTGACAGTGACAGTGACAGAGCCAGATCGGTGACAGTGACAGAGCCGGGTGAGGACAGCACGACAGCAGCGACAGTGACAGTGACAGAGCCAGATCGGTGACAGTGACAGCGGCGACAGTGACAGCGACAGAGCCACGGCAGGGACAGCAGCAACAGTGACAGAGACAGAGACAGGGCAGCGACAACAGTGACAGCAGTGACAGTGACAGTGACAGAGCCAGATCGGTGACAGTGACAACGGTGACAGTGACAGTGACAGCAGTGACAGTGACAGCGGTGACAGTGACAGCGGTGACAGTGACAGTGACAGCGGTGACAGTGACAGCGCCAGAGGCCGGGGCAGAGCCAGCCCAGCCCGCCTCGGCACTCCCGGCATTCCCCAGTTCCCAAATTCCCAAAGATTTGGGGGTTTATGGGTGGAAAATGAGAATGTTGTGATGGTTTGGGTTTGGCTTTGGGGGTTTTGGTGTTTTTCGTTTTGCTCCATGCGGTGTTTCGGGGGTTTTTTTGGGGGGGTTTGGGGTTCCATGCAGTGCTTTGGGGTATTCTGGGTTCCACGCAGTGGTTTGGGTTGGTTTTTGGGGTTGTTTTGAGTATTCTGGATTTTTCAGGGGGGTTTTATGGATTCCATGCAGCGTTTGGGGGTGTTTTGGGTGGTTTTTTGGTTTGTTTTTGGGGTTCCATGCGGTGTTTTAGGGGTTTTTTTATTTGGTTCCATGCAGCGGTTTGGGTTTGGTTTTGGGGGCGTTTTGGGTTTTTTTTGGTTCCATGTGGCGTTTTGAGGTTTCCTTTGGGTTCCATGTGGCGTTTTAGGGTTTTTTGGGGTCCTCTGCGGTGTTTTAGGGTATTTTGGGGTCCTCTGCGGTGTTTTGGGGTTTTTTGGGGTCCTCTGCGGTGTTTAGGGTATTTTGGGGTTCCATGTGGTGTTTTAGGGTTTTTTGGGGTCCTCTGCGGTGTTTTAGGGTATTTTGGGGTTCCATGTGGTGTTTTAGGGTTTTTTGGGGTCCTCTGCGGTGTTTTGGGGTTTTTTGGGGTTCCATGTGGCGTTTTAGGGGTTTTTTTTTTTTTGGGTTCCATGCAGTGGTTTGGGTTTGGTTTGGGGTTTTTCTGGTTCCATGTGGTGTTTTAGGGGTTCTTTTGGGGTTCCGTGGGGCGTTTCAGGGGTTTGTGGGGCATTTTTGGGGTTTTTGGGGAGGATTTTTGGGGTGCTCACCTTCTCCAGGGTCTCGATGCGCTGCTTGAGCAGGCGGTTCTCAGAGCGGAGCCGCTGAGGGGACACGGAGGGGACAGGGAGGGGACAATGAGTGGTGATCCAGATGTCCCCATGTCCCCCAGGTGTCCCCCAGCCGTCCCCAGGTGACTCCATGTGTCCCCAGGTGCCCCTATGTATCCCCAGGGATGCCCCCAGGTGTCCCCAGGAATGTCCCCAGGCATCCCCAGGTGTCCCCAGATGTCCGCAGGTGTCCCCCAGCTGTCCCCAGGTGACCCCGCATGTCCCCAAGGATGTCCTCCAGCTGTCCCCAGGATTGTCCCCAAGTGTGCCCAGTTTTCCCCAGGTGTCCCTGCAGTGTCCCCAGGGATGTCCCCAGGGGTCCCTCAGGTGTGTTCAGGTGTCCCTGCAGTGTCCCCAGGTGTGTTCAGGTGTCCCTGCAGTGTCCCTGCAGTGTCCCCAGGTGTGTTCAGGTGTGTTCAGGTGTGTTCAGGTGTGTTCAGGTGTCCCTGCAATGTCCCTGCAGTGTCCCCAGGTGTGTTCAGGTGTCCCTGCAGTGTCCCTGCAGTGTCCCCAGGTGTCCCCAGGTGTGTTCAGGTGTGTTCAGGTGTCCCTGCAATGTCCCTGCAGTGTCCCTGCAGTGTCCCCAGGTGTGTTCAGGTGTGTTCAGGTGTCCCTGCAGTGTCCCTGCAGTGTCCCTGCAGTGTCCCCAGGTGTGTTCAGGTGTGTTCAGGTGTCCCTGCAGTGTCCCTGCAGTGTCCCCAGGTGTGTTCAGGTGTGTTCAGGTGTCCCTGCAGTGTCCCTGCAGTGTCCCTGCAGTGTCCCCAGGTGTGTTCAGGTGTCCCTGCAGTGTCCCTGCAGTGTCCCTGCAGTGTCCCCATGTGTTCAGGTGTCCCTGCAGTGTCCCTGCAGTGTCCCAGCTGTCCCCAGGTGTGTTCAGGTGTGTTCAGATGTCCCCAGGTGTGTTCAGGTGTCCCTGCAGTGTCCCCAGGTGTGTTCAGGTGTCCCTGCAATGTCCCCAGGTGTCCCCAGCTGTGTCACCTTGATCTCGATCTGCTCCTCCATCTCTTTGCTCTTGAGGGCGGCGTATTCCTTCTCCAGCCTGGGGACACAGGGACAGCTGGGGACAGCTGGGGACAGAGGGACAGGGACACAGGGACAGGGACACACGGACAGCTGGGGACAGCTGGGGACAGAGGGACAGGGACAGGGACACAGGGACAGGGACACACGGACAGCTGGGGACAGAGGGACAGGGACAGGGACACAGGGACAGGGACACACGGACAGCTGGGGACAGCTGGGGACAGAGGGACAGGGACTGGGGACAGGGACAGCGACAAAGGGACAGGGGACCGGGACAGGGACAAAGGGACAGGGACAGCTGGGGACAGCTGGGGACAGAGGGACAGGGACAGGGACACACAGACAGCTGGGGACAGCTGGGGACAGCTGGGGACAGGGACACAGGGACAGGGACACACGGACAGCTGGGGACAGCTGGGGACAGCTGGGGACAGCTGGGGACAGAGGGACAGGGACGGGGACAGGGGACACCTAGGGACAGAGACAGAGGAACAGGGACAGGGACACAGGGACACAGGGGACAGCAATGGGGACAGGGACGGGAAAGGGACACAAGGACAGGGACAGGGATGGGAAAGGGACAGGGGGGCAGGGACAGGGACAGGGACACAGGGGACAGTGATGGGGACGGGGACAGCGATGGGAAAGGGACAGGGTGGGGACAGGGACACAGGGACACAGTGACAGGGACAGCTGGGGACAGGGACGAGGGGACACAGACAGAGGGGACAACATGGGGACAGGGCGGGGACAGCAGGGACAGGGACACAGGGACAGGTGGGGACAGGGATGGGGACAGGAACAGGGGGGCAGGGACAGGGACAGGGATGGGGACACAGGGACAGAGAGAGGACAAAGACAGGGACAGGGTGGGGACAGGGCACAGGGAGAGGGGACAGGGATGGGAAAGGGACACAAGGACAGGGACAAGGTGGGGACAGGGCACAGGGAGAGGGGACAGGGATGGGAAAGGGACACAAGGACAGGGACAGGGACAGGGACAAAGGGGATGGAGACAAAGGGGACAGGGACAAAAGATGGGGACAGGGACAGGGACAGAGAGGACAGGGACAGGGACAGCTGAGGACAGGGATGGAGGGGACAAGGACACGGATGGGAAAGGGACAGAAAGGACAGGAACAGGGACAGGGACGGGGACACAGGGACAGAGAGGACAAAGACAAAGGGGACAGGGACAGAGGGGACAGGGATGGGAGAGGGACACAAGGACAGGGACAGGGGATAAGAACAGGGGACAGGGACAGGGACACAGGGGACACAGGGACACAGGGACAGAGGGGACAGAAGGACACAGGGACAGAGGGACACAGGGACAGAGGGACAGAGGGACAGAGGGACACAGGGACACAGGGACAGAGGGGACAGAAGGACAGAGGGGACAGAAGGACACAGGGACAGAGGGACACAGGGACACAGGGACAGAGTGACACAGGGACAAGGGGGACAGAAGGACACAGGGACAGAGGGGAAAGAAGGATACAAGGACAGAGGGACAGAAGGACAGAGGGACAGAGGGACACGGGGACAGAAGGATACAAGGACAGAGGGACAGAAGGACAGAGGGACAGAGGGACACGGGGACAGAAGGATACAAGGACAGAGGGACAGAGGGGACAGAAGGACACAGGGACAGAGGGACACGGGGACAGAAGGATACAAGGACAGAGGGACAGAGGGGACAGAAGGACAGAGGGACAGAGGGGACAGAAGGACACAGGGACAGAGGGACACGGGGACAGAAGGATACAAGGACAGAGGGACAGAGGGGACAGAAGGACACAGGGACACAGGGACACGGGGACAGAAGGATACAAGGACAGAGGGACAGAGGGGACAGAAGGACACAGGGACACAGGGACACGGGGACAGAAGGATACAAGGACAGAGGGACAGAGGGGACAGAAGGACACAGGGACACAGGGACAGAGGGACAGAAGGATACAAGGACAGAGGGACAGAGGGGACAGAAGGACACAGGGACACAGGGACACGGGGACAGAAGGATACAAGGACAGAGGGACAGAGGGGACAGAAGGACACAGGGACACAGGGACACGGGGACAGAGGTGCCCTGACCTCTTCATCTTGCGGGGGTTGTACTTGACCTGGCAGGCGCGCAGGATCAGCTTGTCGGGGCACGAGTCGAACTGGTGAGGGATCACCTTCTGGAAGTACTGCGGGGGGGAACGCGGTCACCCCCACAGCAGGGGAGTTCAGAACAAATCGGGGACAATTCACCCCAAATCGGGGACAATTCACCCCAAATCGGGGAGTTCAGAACAAATCGGGGACAATTTGGACCAAAAATGGGGGAAAATGGCACAAAATAGGGGAAAAAATGGCACAAAATGGGGAAAACCAGGGCAAAATGGGGATGAACTCATCCTGTTGGCCAAACCCACCCCAAATCCCATCCCATTGACCAAACCCACCCCAAACCCACCCCAAATTTCATCCATTGACCAAACCCACCCCAAACCCACCCCAAATCCCATCCCAAATCCATCCCCAAACCCATCCCATTGACCAAACCCACCCCAAACCCACCCCAAATTCTATCCATTGACCACACCCATCCATTGACCAAACCCACTCCAAATCCACCCCAAATTTCATCCATTGACCAAACCCACCCCAAACCCACCCCAAATCCACCCCCAAACCCATTCCATTGACCAAACCCACCCCAAATCCACCCCAAATTCTATCCATTGACCACACCCATCCATTGACCAAACCCACCCCAAATCCACCCCAAATCCACCCCACTGACCAAACACAACCCAAATCCACCCCAACCCCACCCCACTGACCAACTCCCACCCACCCCAACCCCACTGACCAAACCCACCCCAAACCTACCCCACTGACCAAAGCCACCCACTGACCAAGCCCACCCAACCCCAAACCCACCCCATTGACCAAACCCACCCCAAACTCACCTCACTGACCAAAGCCACCCCATTAACCAAGTCCGCCCCAAGGCCACCCCAACCCCACCCCACCGACCAAACACGCCTCAAACCCACCCCAAACCCATCCCAACCCCACCCCACTGACCAAGCCTACCCAAGGTCACCCCAAGGCCACCCCAACCCCACCCCATTGACCAAACACACCCCAAACCCACCCACTGACCAACCCTACCCCAAATCCATCCCAAGGCCACCGAGCCTAGCCCACCCCAAATCCACCCCACTGACCAAATCCACCCCAAGGCCACCCCAAACCCACCCCACTGACCAAAGTCACCCCCTGACCAACCCCACCCCATTGATCAAACCCACCCTACTGACCAAAGCCACGCCATTGACCAACCCTACTCCAAACCCAACCCAAGGCCACCTCACCCCAAGCCCACCCCACTGACCAACCCCACCCCATTGACCAACCCCACCCCATTGATCAAACCCACCCCATTGACCAACCCCACCCCACTGACCAACCCCACCCCATTGATCAAACCCACCCTACTGACCAAAGCCACGCCATTGACCAACCCTACTCCAAACCCAACCCAAGGCCACCTCACCCCAAGCCCACCCCACTGACCAACCCCACCCCATTGACCAACCCCACCCCATTGACCAACCCCACCCCATTATCCAAACCCACCCCATCATCCAAACACACCCCACTGACCAACCCCACCCCACTGACCAACCCCACCCCATTGATCAAACCCACCCCCATTACCCAACCCCACCCCATTGACCAACCCCACCCCATTGACCAACCCCACCCCATTGATCAAACCCACCCCATTGATCAAACCCACCCCATTGACCAACCCCACCCCATTGATCAAACCCACCCCATTGACCAACCCCACCCCATTGACCAAGCCCACCCCACTGACCAACCCCCACCCCATTGACCAACCCCACCCCATTATCCAAACCCACCCCATCATCCAAACCCACCCCACTGACCAACCCCACCCCACTGACCAAGCCACCCCATTGACCAAGCCCACCCCACTGACCAACCCCACCCCACTGACCAAGCCCACCCCATTGACCAAGCCCACCCCATTGACCACCCCACCCCACTGACCAACCCCACCCCATTGATCAAACCCACCCCATCATCCAAACCCACCCCCTTATCCAAACCCACCCCATTGACCAACCCCACCCCATTGACCAACCACACCCCATTGACCAACCCCACCCCATTGATCAAACCCACCCCACTGACCAACCCCACCCCATTGATCAAACCCACCCCATTACCCAAACCCACCCCATCATCCAAACCCACCCCATCATCCAAACCCACCCCCTTATCCAAACCCACCCCATTGACCAACCCCACCCCATTACCCAAACCCTCCCTATTGACCAAACCCAAACCCAACCCAAGCCCACCCCAACCCCACCCCATTGCCCAACCCCACCCCACTGACCAACCCCAACCCACTGACCAAGCCCACCCCAAACCCATCCCAACCCCACCCCACTGACCAAACCCACCCTATTACCCAAACCCACCCCAACTGACCAACCCCAACCCACTGACCAAGCCCACCCCACTGACCAACCCCACCCCAAAACCCATCCCAACCCTACCCCACTGACCAAACGCACCCCATGGTCACCCCACTGACCAACCCCACCCCAAACCCACCCCATTGCCCAAAACCACCCCAAGCCCATCCCAACCCACCCCATTGACCAACCCCAAACCCCCCAAGGCCACCCCTCGTTGGGGCCGGTACCTGGGACATGCCCTCCATGTCCAGCTGCACCAGCTCGGCCTGGTTGAACTGCAGCAGCGCCATCCCCACGCGGAACACGATCTCCAGACCCTGCCACCGACGCGGCCACACGGTCAGCGCGGCCATCGGGGCCACCATGGACACCACGGGGCCACCCCACCCCTGCCACCGCCATACCTGGTCAGCGCGGCCATCGGGGCCACCATGGACACCACGGGACCACCCCACCCCTGCCACCGACGCGGCCACACGGTCAGCGCGGCCATCGGGGCCACCATGGACACCACGGGAACACCCCACCCCTGCCACCGCTCCACACGGTCAGCGCGGCCATCGGGGCCACCATGGACACCACGGGAACACCCCACCCCTGCCACCGCTCCACACGGTCAGCGCGGCCATCGGGGCCACCATGGACACCACGGGACCACCCCACCCCTGCCACCGCTCCACATGGTCAGCGCGGCCATCGGGGCCACCATGGACACCACGGGAACACCCCACCCCTGCCACCGCTCCACACGGTCAGCGCGGCCATCGGGGCCACCATGGACACCACGGGACCACCCCACCCCTGCCACCGCTCCACACGGTCAGCGCGGCCATCGGGGCCACCATGGACACCACGGGACCACCCCACCCCTGCCACCGCTCCACATGGTCAGCATGGCCATCAGGGCCACCACGGGACCACCCCACCCCTGCCACCGCTCCACATGGTCAGCATGGCCATCAGGGCCACCACGGGACCACCCCACCCCTGCCACCAACGCGGCCACACGGTCAGCGCGGCCATCGGGGCCACCATGGACACCATGGGACCACCCCACCCCTGCCACCGCTCCACATGGTCAGCGCGGCCATCGGGGACACCATGGACACCACGGGACCACCCCACCCCTGCCACCGACGCGGCCACACGGTCAGCGCGGCCATCAGGGCCACCACGGGACCACCCCACCCCTGCCACCGCCATACCTGGTCAGCGCGGCCATCGGGGCCACCACGGGACCACCATGAGTTACTGGGACCACCCCACCCCTGCCACCACCCCACCTGGTCAGCGTGGCCATCGGGGCCACCACAGGGCCATCGGGGCCACCATGGTCACCTCGGGGCCACCCTGAGGCCACCCTGAGTCACTGGGGCCACCCCACCCCTGCCATCACCTTGCCCGGTCACTGTGGCCATCAGGGCCACCCCGGGGCCACCATGGTCACCTCGGAGCCACCCCACCCCTGCCACCACCCCACCTGGTCACCATGGCCATCGGGGCCACCACAGCCACCTCAGGGCCACTTTGGGGCCACTACGGCCACCCTGGAGCCACCCTGGGTCATTGGGGCCACCCCACCCCTGTGACAGCCCCACGTGGTCACCATGGCCACCGGGGCCACCCCGGGGCCACCCTGGGTCATGTCTGGGTCACCAGGGCCACCCCAGAGCCCCTTCTTGGGGGATTTGATCCACCCCAAACTCATTTCTGAGGGACTTGGTCAAACCCCAAACCCATTCTTGAGGAATTTGATCCACCCCAATCTCATTTTTGAGGGACCTCATCAAACCAAACTCATTCTTGAGGGACTTGGTCAAACCCAAACCCACTTTTTAGTGATTTACTCAAACCCAAACCCTTTTTGAGACGTTTGATCCGCCCCAAACTCGTTTCTGAGGGATTTGTTCCACCCCAAACCCATTCTTGAGGAATTTCTTTAACCCAAACCAATTTCTGAGGGATTACTCAAACCCAACCCATTTTTTTGGGATTTTTTGCCCCGAATGCCCCGTATGGGGTGGATTTGGGGCTACCTCGTACATGAAGATGTCACAGCCACGCGTGGCCACGGGCAGGGGGAAGGTGGTGAGGAACCAGCCCAGATTCTGAGGGGTTTGGTCAAACCCAAACCCATTTTTGAAGGATTTGATCCACCCCAAACTCATTCTTGAGGATTTGGTCAAACCAAACTCATTTTTGAAGAATTTGATCCATCCCAAACCCCATTTTTGAGGAGTTTGGTCAAACCCAAACCCATTTTTGAAGAGTTTGATCCACCTCAAACCCATTCTTGAGGGACCTCATCAAACCCAACCCATTCTTGAGGGACTTGGTCCAACCCAAACCCATTTTTGAAGGATTTGATCCACCCCAAATTCATTCTTGAGGGATTTGGTCAAACCAAACTCATTTTTGAAGAATTTGATCCACCCCAAACCCCTTTTTGAGGGATTTGATCAAACCCAAATCCATTTCTGAGGAGTTTGATCCACCTCAAACCCATTCTTGAGGGACCTCATCAAACCAAAT